AAATAATTACCTAAATTCACTTTGCGCCGGTGAATAACTGTTATCAAGCAGGCCTCAGTTATTTAAGACGCGGATAACGCCACTGGATGTAACTCTCTAAATCTTTATCTACTAAATAGCGTAATTGGTTTCCCTAAGTAGTTATCATAGTTAGTGGATAGCGCTTCGCAACATTTTAAGTAATGGTCCAGCTAAGAAGCAGGCAGAAAAACAATAGCCCGCGGCAATAGCGTCAGTTATTTTTCAGGCGCTAATTTCTCTAATCAAATTAAATCTGAATGCTCTGATTGGTCAATACAGCGAAAAGCGCGAAATTTGAATTTTAAAGTTGAATTAAGATAGCTTAAGACTCATTCGAACAACTTTTTATTTCGTCTATTGCTTTGTTATGTTGAAAAATATAACATATCTAAAATTTAAAAGATTTCTATGCGCCAAACCCGAGGAAGTTAAACTGATATGAAATTACACGAAGACGAGCACAGTGTTACATCAATCAGCGACGTTGGGACCAACATTTACGTCGGCTCTCACAAGCGAAATGTCAAAACCATGATCGTAAACAGCAGCAATTCACTCTCACGTGGCGAATCTGGCGAACGCGCCAATGTCGCGCGTTCATATTCGGCCACCATACAGAACAACAACAAGTACACAAAATCAAATCTAAATGTTATCTAAATGTTCTGCTTTTGGAAAAAAAGATGATGTTGCCCAGATAGAAAAAATTCCTGCATGTTCGGATAATCGGGTTTCAGAAAAAGCTCTCCTACAGTTTATCTGTTTTCAAGGTTTTGATATTACTCTATAAAAATCCTTCTTACAATCTCTCTCGTCCTTAGAAAAAATAAAGGCAAGCTACAGTCATGCTCGCTAGATCTTCCGCACCAAGAGAAACTCAAACACCAGTGACAGCTATTTATGATGCCTAAGCGGCTTCCGTCTCGGTATTCTCCGTCTCAGAACTCAAAGGTACAAAATGCAAACGTGTCACAAATTTCAATTCGCTCATTTTAACTTAAGGTCCACGGCGAACTTCCTGCTTGATGAAGCAGTCTAGAGAGGAAAAAAATCGAATGAGAGACGGGTAAAGATACACGGAATATGGAAGTTTCAAAAAGGGCAAACACATGGATAACACATGATGCGCGCGGAGGTGCGAAAATCTACTGAATTCAGCTTACCTCAAGCTCAAGTGTTCTACATCTCTTCGAGAAATAAATTCATCCTTGTAAAAACAACAAATCTTTCGCTTTCTCGTTTTATGCCCAGCTGTACTCCAATTTCTAGCGCCACAATTATTCCGATCTCCTCCTGATCCGGCCTGACAACGAAAACAACTACGCCGGGCCAAAATTTCCATATGGCGACTCGGCATGTCGAGGACGGCAGCAAACCACGTTTAAGAGCATTTTGACGATCACTCCGATGATAAAATACAGTAAATTTGAGATAAATATTCAATAATGAAAAAATGCAGATTTTTCACGAAGAAATTGACGAGATTTCTTCGGGTAAAAGACAAATTTCCTTACATCTCAAGTGTCACACTAAGATGGGGTCACAACAAGGTCGCGCGTGTGTTACACGTTTTTCCGTTCTAACTTTTGATTGGCGCATAGAACAATGCTGAAACTTGGCCGTGAGGTATAAGACAGGGGAATGGGAAAAATAAACCTAAAAAAGGGTGTTTTTGTCACGTTTCTGACTGTTTTTTTGGCGATTTTTGGATTTCGGCCAATCAGAACGCTTGATTTAATTGAAATTAATGATTAAAAGTTAGCACCTTTTAATCACTTTTGCCGTTCGCCTGCCTACCTCTTACACGGACCATTACTTAACAACTTGGGCAAGCTGTCAAAGGTTGCTCTACATTTCTTAAGTGCTGTGACATAAAAAGAGAAATGTTTACACAGAAAACTGACGAGTTTACGAATAATTAATTAGTGAACTAGTCTGTCACGGAGTTCCAGCAAGATAATTTTCTCGTTTCACTAACAATAACTTCGGTGCTCATATGATACGACTGGAACTGAAAAACAAGTTGGCTACTAGTAATTTCTACTATCGAATCGTCACGGACACTTGAGTCAAAGTAGTCATTGAAGACGCTTTATTCAACATGCGCTCGCTGGTTTTCCTCGCACTGGCCGTAATCACATATGGTGTGAATGGCGCCAAACCGTCAAAATTGGGCCGCTATAACCAAACACCTATTTCAACAGACTGCAAAAAGCCCCCGGCTGTTTGTAACTGTAATCTGACGGTGAATCAAGATTCTCAAGTCTCCGGTGCCATGAAAACTTTAGACGTGAAGCTGGATAAACTCGTCGCACAAAATTTAGATAAAAAAGTGGAAAACCTCGAAAAGAATTCGAAAAAACAGCTGGAAAAACTTATTGGCCTGATCAACAAATCTGCCACTCCAGACGTTGTGACCACGACATCGTCGAACGAAACCGAAATCTGCGACAACGCCCTCAAGAAGATGGAAACGAAGCTAGAAAAACTCATCGTTAACAAGCTGGAAACAAAGCTGGAAAAACTGCTCCAACAGAACTTGGAAACAAAGCGGCTGGAAAGGCTTACTACACTAATAAACAAGACCGCCGATCCAGAAATTGTTCGCCAATTGTTGAACGGTACCTTCGAAGCTGCTCTCAAGAAAATAGAAACGAAGCTGGAAAAAATCAGAGAACTGACCCACAAAGGTAATTTGTAAGGTAGAGTGACCTAAGTATTTCTAAAGAAAGTTTGGCATATAGGTGAATTTTGTATTACAATCTAACTGGCGCTTTTCATATTTACACGTTTTTTTTTTTTTGCAGCCATTTTCTCTGCTTCCTCTTGCAAGGAACTGTTCGATATGCACAAGTAAGTAATCATTCCAGACAAGGCTTTATTTTGCTGCATATTAAAATTAGTGTGATTTACGTTTTTACTTCAGCTTTTCATTAAAAAGACATTCGAGTATGTAGTATTAATGCGAAAAAGACCGGCGAACAATGTAAAATTTACAAATAGAGACCAGAACATAATGACAAAAAGATTAAATAATCCAAATCATTACACAATTATTACATCTAGTGAGAAAAATCAAACTGTGCGTGCAACTAAAAAACAAAAGGCAAAAAAAAAAAAAAACACTTCAATGGACGTAGTCAGATTATTAGAGTCGCACACCAGACGAACAGCCAATCGATTTTCGATTCGAATGTTGTTTGTTTTCGGTTTGCCTTTATTCTGCAATTCGCCACGACTCGATGCACTTGAATGCCTTGTTTTCACGATTTATAAAGGTACTTTCAATTACTTGACAGCATTCGGGAGTAGAAAACAACTTTAAGTCTGTTCGTTCCATTTGAATGACAGAATTACATTGTTTGACGTTTATTCACAAGGATCAAGAACTCATATGTTTGGCTATCAACTGATTTCTTCTCCAACAGGTTAAAGACAAGTCGTGTATATACCCTGAAGTTTGGTTCACAAAAGATCCACGTGTACTGTCACATGGGAGACTTTGGATGCGGAGATGGAGGATGGACTCTGGCCATGAAGATTGACGGCACAAAGGTACATGTCTTACGCGTCACCCCATTTTTGTGATATTGATATTAATTTTCTAATTTCCGTTTTCAGAAAACTTTTCATTACGATTCTCACTTCTGGAGCGACAGAAAGCCACTCAACTTTGCGGGGGGAAGGACTGGGTTTGATTCACAAGAAACCAAGTTGCCAACCTACTGGAACACATCCTTCTCCAAGATCTGCCTCGGTATGAAGATCGGCCACAAGATAAGATTCTTTACCATCTACAAGCACGCCAACTCGCTGTACTCGCTAATCGCTGACGGCCGATACCGCGCCACCTCACTTGGTCGTAACACGTGGAAGTCGCTGATTGGTCCACAGGCATCCTTACAAAAATACTGTAACAAGGAAGGGTTCAATGCTATCTGCAGCGATAAACCACATTCCAAAGCAAGAATTGGTATCACAAGCAATGAATGGAACGATTGTGTCTTGTGTGACTCCAGAATCGGATTTGGTACAGGAGGATATCATGACGACACAAACACGTGTGGAAATGAGGCCACATTTTCCCCAGACAACGGAAACAAGCACATCAAAACCATGGGCTACATCTTGGTTCAGTAGTAAAGAATCCGGAACTTTCCCATGAGCATTAAAATTTTATTCGGTTAGTTTAGCTCAAGTTTTCTCTCAGAAGAAACAAAATCCATAGTGGGACATAGGTGCCACTCAGGTTAGATGATCTTGTAAAGATTGCCTTCTATTCTAAATAAAGTGGGGAACAATAAAATTCATTGCTCTTTTAATTTGATATGAATAAGAAAGACTTCTGTTATGGTGCACTAAATCAGATCCTCGTGATGACAGATTACCTTGAGGATCAAAAGTCTAACAGAGCAGGCTTTGTAAAGTATCAAACAATTAAAGGGTTGAAAGCGATTCGGTGCTGTCGAAACCCTGGAGTTTTCTTCAAATACAGGGAAAAGGGAAAAGGTAAAGAGTCCTTTTTTTTTCGTCGGTAGCTCGAAATAGTTATCTGCCAAACAAACCTGAGGCTGAAGGCGTGCTTAGTTTACCCCTTCCCCCGCCCCTCAATCTCCTTTACCGGTATTTAAAGCTGCACGGAATTGGGGAAAGAAGGTCGAAAGATGGATTTGTGGTCACCAACTGGGAATGGAACTCGGGACCTTCTGCACAGAAGGCCGCCTACCAGCCATTCCTGCTGTCGGAAACGCTTTAGCACAATTTTATAATTAAATATCCTCAACTGACGAACAAAATAAATGGTAGATATTTCCGGTGACCTTTCGTAGATGAAGAAGGAGAAAATAGCAGATCAAAAAAAATCTGTGGACGCGTTGGAAAGACACCGAACAACAATACCCACACAAAAAAGCGAACCATCAATATTTTCCCATCAGCAAGAAACACCAAATAAGGGAGCCTTTGTTATTTCCTCTCTTCCTTATGCGTGTCGCCTTTCCTCGGGGGGGGTGATTTTCGCGCACGCTCGCCCTCCTAGGCCTGAGATACAGGACTACTCGTAGGCTAGAGTCATGTACGAGTTGAGCCAAACCAGCTAACTTCCTGTGACTGCAAAGATGCCTGAAATTGATTTTGCTGAACACTAATACACAAAATACTTCACTTCGTTAATTTTTGGATAAATTGAAGAAAAACGCGCACGTTTCTGGGACTGTCAGGCGAATTCTCTTAGTTTACTTTCCAGCCTCTCTTTAAGGCGGCTGAACACAGTTTTGGCAGTTTGTGAGTGTATCTCATTTGCCAAATCATGGCAAGAGATAGGTTGCAGCTCACAAGCTGACAAGTGACAAATATACAGATGAAAGATAATGTGACGTTTTCGTAGTTTCCATGGCAACATGAACTACTGAATACAACCTTAAAATTTCAGTTTTGCTCAGTTTACATAAAATTCGCTCATTAGATTTACCTATAAACTTGCACACAGCTTACTATAATTAATCATTACCATTTGAAACTTATTTGACCAAATTTTAACAGACGGGTTTTTACATAATCAATAATATAATTGTACTGTAATTGTTAAATGTGTCACAAAATTCGTCTGTTCAACTTCCATTTTAAAGTCCTCATTATTAAAATACGATAAAAGCAAGATTTCTGCCAAATGTCACAAAATTTTAATGAGTAGTTTTGAGAAATCGTCTTCTGTGTTCCATTACTTTTTTCACTGCCTTGTTTGTTTGTCTAATTTAAAATAAGCGCCGCCACGCGAGTCACCGCTGACCGCCCGCAAAACTTTGTTGAGCGACCTCAATTCGAGATAAGTGAACAAGGACAGGGAACACCTTGATGATGTCTTAAGAGAATAACCCTTTACACGAGTTTGCGAACCTTACTGGTGTCAGATTTTAGGCTCTGTAGCTATCGACCACTTCCGACGGACTAAAGCACCGTGAGCGTCACAGATTTTAGCTCCCACACATTTCCATGCCCTGACTCATGTTATAGGTCCGCAGTTTGTTTATAAATTCGACACTCAAAAAACGAGAAAGGAACTGGGCCGAGACTTCTGTGACTGTTACTTGGGACTGGAAAAAACTGGCCAATGGCTGACGGGCGCCTCCCTACTAACGATCCCAGAAACCATTGCGGGACGCATTTCGGGTCCAGGGGCCCGTTTCTCGAAAGTTCCGATAATTAATGGGATATTTTGCTAGCCAGGACCCGCGCTTTAATTCTTTTTATTTCGATTTGAATATTTGATTTCGGGCCGGAAAAGTTACCGGGACTTTGGAGAAACGGGCCCCTGTTAACCATAGGTGAGGTTCCACTTTATAACGAGCGGCCTTTAACTAGTCCCTTATTTTCCTCGAGGAAAGTAGAGCGATCAAAACACATGTGTGCGATAGAAAACTCATTCCGAGAGGACTGAGGCGAAATTTTCGACAAGACTAACTTTTTCTTAAGACGTATATTTAACGCCTGCACATTAGTGACAATTAGGTTACTTAAGGCAGCTTCTTTCAGCTTCTTTCAGCGAGCTGTAAACATAGTCTACGTAATAAGGCTAAAATAATAGGAAGCTTTAGCAAAGACGTTTTTGAGCGACTCACGTCAACCAAAAGTGGAAGTTTTGCATTCTAAGGACGTGGTTTTGCACAAATTTTCGAGCAAATTAAAGCGAATCTATAAGAATAAAGGCACTTAGCAATACAAATTTAATAGCGTGAAGGCATATTTTTTCAAAAAGAAAAAGGCTCACTTCTGGCTGAAGGGCGTCGCTCAAAAACGTTTCTGCTTAAACTCCCTAATTACTAAAGAGAAACAAAAGTAATTGTCTTAAACACTTGAAAAGGAGAATAAACACGGCAGGCAATTTTCCAGTCGAAGATGAAACTCCCGACAATTATCAGAAAATATTTTGGACCAATATTTACTCAGCCGAAGGGAAATGTGTGCTTTTGATCGAAATCAGAGCTTAAAGATCAACAGAAGACAGTTGAAAAATTAAACTTTTCGAACAAAATCTTACACCAATCTCAAAAGCAGCCGGATCTACATGCATTTACTGATCTAAGATGTGAATTCAACTCTGGAATTCAGCAGTTATAGAACATCTATGGCGAGACGACGTTTTGATGTTCCAGTCTCATTTACGGTCTATTTTTGTCAACAAGGAAGTGGTAGAGAAATGACAATGGTATAAATTATTCTGGTACTTGTTCCTTAGTAGTTTAAATATATGAGTTCTCCTCACTTCTATTTCCCACAACGCAAAGATGTTAAAAAGCATCTGAATGCAAGCTTCAAGAAGTATTCTGGTTTTTCGCAAGGAGAGAAGTAAAGTGAAGCAAAGGAGACACGCGTGTGTTCTAAAAATCTGCCACGTGCGAGTACATAACATGACGAGCGTGGCGAAGCTGGGTGTTCTTCCCTCTCTTTGGGCGATATTTCCCTTTTTCGCGTGTTAGTTTGACACAGTAAAACACTCAATTGGCAGTCTAATCGAAAAATTATACCGTGATAGGTTTAGTATTTCAACTGATATACTTAAAGCAAACTAATTACAGTGAAAAGAGTTGTTACTTTAGACTGAGTGATCGTTTATGATGAATATTTTAGCTTCAAATTCGTCAGCAAATATTTACCTAAATTCACTTCGCGCCAGTGAATAACTGTATTCAAGCAGGCCTCAGTTGTTCAAAAGGTGGATAATGCCCCTGGATTCATCTCTATCCACTGGATAGTGCAATTTCTTTCCCTAATACACTTGTACTTACCGGTTGGATAGTGATTATCCGGTGGATAGTGCCTCCCAACGTTTGAACAACTGAGGCAAGCCGTCAGAGGTAACTCTACATTTCTTAAGTACTGTGACTTAGGAAGAGAAATGTGTACACAGAAAGCAGACGAGTTTACGAATAATTAGTGAATTAGTCACGAAGCTCCAGCAAGATAATTCTCTCGTTTCACTGACAATATACGGCGCTGATATGATATGAGAAGAAATGAAAAACAAGTTGGTAACCAGCAACCAGTACCATCGAATCGTCACAGACACTTCAGTCAAAGTATTCGTTGAAGACGCTCAACGGTTTCAACATGCGCTCGTTGGTTTTCCTCGCACTGGCTATTATAATATCATATGCCGTGAATGGCGCCAAACCGTCAAACTTGGGTCGGTATAACCAAACATCTCTTCCAACAGACGGCAAAAAGCCTCCGGCTGTTTGTAACTGTAACCTGACTAACCTGACGGTGAATCAAGATTCTCAATTCTCCGGTGCCGTGAAAAATTTAGAAATGAAGCTGGATAAAATTCTTGCACAGAATGTGGATACAAAAATACAAAAACTTCTCGAAAGGAATTCAAAAATACAGCTGGACAAACTTATTGGACTCCTCAACAAAACTGCCCCTCCAGACGTTGTGACTACGACATCGTCGAACGAGACCGATAACTGCGACAGCACCCTCAAGAAGATGGAAACGAACCTGGAAAAACTTATCATTAAAACGCTGGAAACGAAGCTGGAAAAACTGCTCCAACAGAATTTGGAAACAAAGCTGGAAAGACTTACTGCACTAATAAACAAGACTGGAGATCCAGAAATTGAAACCAAATCGTTGAACGCGACCTGCGACGCTGCCCTCAAGAAGTTAGAAACAAAGCTGGAAAAAATAAGAATACTGACCAACAAGGCCTACTTGTCAGGTAAAGCAACCTAAGTATTTCTAAAGAAAGTTTGGCATATTGATGAATTTTGTCTTATAATCTAACTAGGGTTTCATATATACACGTTTTTTTTTTTGGCAGCCATTTCCTCTTCCTCCTCTTGCAAGGAACTGTTCGATATGCACAAGTAAGTAATCATTCCATTCAACGCTTAGTTTGCTGCATGTTAAAATCAGTGTAATCCACGTTTTCATTTCAGCTTTTTATTAAAAGGCATTCGAGTATGTAGTTTTAATGCAAAAAATCGAATCATCGGAACAAAAAATGGAGACGAACGGAGTTATCAAAGTAAAATTAACAAATAGATATCAGAAAATGATGACAAAAAGATTAAATAATCCAAATCATTACACAATTTGTGATTATCCAGTGACAAAAATCGAACTGTGCTCTCAATTGAAAAACAAAAACTGAAAGCAAACACTTCAGTGGACATAATCAGATTATTAGAGTCGCACATTAGACGTAAAGGCAATCGATTTTCGACTTGTTGTGTTGTTTGTTTTCGGTTTACCTTTAGTCTTGAATTCCGGACGAATCAATGCACTTGAATACCTATAGCCGTTTTCGATTTAATGTACTTTTAATTACTTGACAGCACTCGGAAGTAGAACACAACTTTAAGTCTACGGTTGTGATCACCTCCATTTGAATAACAAAAATACATTGTTTGACGTTCATTCATAGACGACATATTTTTGACTATCCACTGATTTCTTCTCCAATAGCTTTACGACAAGTCGTGTGCATACGCTGAAGTTTGGTTCGCAAAAGATCCCCGTTTACTGTCACATGGGAGACTTTGGATGCGGAGATGGAGGATGGACTCTGGCCATGAAGATTGACGGCACAAAGGTACATTTCTTAAGCGTCACCCCATGTTTGTGATATTGATATTAATTTTCTAATTTCCGTTTTCAGAAAACTTTTCACTACGATTCTCACTTCTGGAGCGACAAAAAGCCATACAACTTTGCCGGAGGAAGGACCGGGTTTGATTCACAAGAGACCAAGTTGCCAACCTACTGGAACACAGCCTTCTCCAAGATCTGCCTGGGTATGAAGATCGGCCACCAATTACGGTTCGTTACTGTCAACAAGTACGCCAGTTCGTTGTACTCTCTGATCGCTGACGGGCGATACCGCGCCACCTCACTGGGTCGTAACAAGTGGAAGACGATGATTGGTTCACAGGCCTCCTTACAGACCAACTGTAACAAGGAAGGGTTTAACGCTATCTGCGGCTGTAAACGATGTTCTAAAGCAAGAATTGGTATCACCAGTAATGAAAACAACGATTGTCACACGTGTGACTCCAGGATCGGGTTTGGCACTGGGGGAATCCCCGATAACAGCAGTACATGTGGGAATGAGGCTTCTTATTCACCAGACAATGGAGACAAGCACATCAAGACTATGGGTTACATCTTGGTTCAGTAATAAAAGCTAATAAAGCACTGAACTTGTCATAAGCGCTGCCCATTATCTATGTAGATTGCTAGTTGTTCAGAAGATAAAAATCCATAAGGGCGCATAAACCCATTGATTTTTTTTGTTGCGTGATCACAATAAACTGATAAGAAAAGCTAACTGAATTGAACTTGTCACTGTCATTCAAATGAATAAGTGATACTTAGTGTACAAGGAGTAATGGACCGCGTTCTGACAGCGAATGTGAAGTAAGGATTAAAAGCGTTTCGTAAATAATAAAGTACATTGCATCATTTCTCATTTCTCAGAATCGAAAAAGAAAATTACAGGGTAAATTTGCATAAGAAAAAGGTTAAGACTATGCTTGATCTTCGATTTAAAGGGCAACTTAAAAATTGTGCTTTCAGATTTTTGTAAGTCAGAGTATTCGGTGCTTAGACAGCTAATTCCAGTTCTCAAAGTTGGTCAAATAACTAGCCTGCATGCAAATCTCTCCTAATTCCGCTTTTACTTCGTGTACCGGACACAAACGACGTAAAACGAAAGACCTCTATGTTTTCTCCGGTGCACGAAGTAAATGCCCCTATTTTCTTTGTTGCAGAAATAGGAGGCGTATGCGCGCTGGCTGCTACCAAATGAAAAGGTTGTGTGGTACTACTTTCGACGCCTGCTACCTTATTGGTACTTAATTTCGCGATTTTGGCGCGACAGTATTTCGCGGGGTTTTATTTTCGAGATTTCAACAAGTAAACATGAAAAATGGGCATTAAATTTCGCGATTTAAGCTTTCTCATCTCCTTTTCTTTTGGTAAAAAGTATGAACCTTTAAGAAAACTAGATAAACTGGAACAAGCAATGTGTGAAATCTTTGCAAACTAACTTCATTTCACCCTGACAACAGACGATATAAAATGGAGCTTACCAGTAAAACCAGAAAGCAATTTGTGTTTGTCGATACCTATCGTTGTTATTACATGTCAATTGTTATTTGAATTTCCTATATGCCTTTGGGTATTAAATTTCGCGAGGATTTATTTTCGAGGGTCATTAATTTCTCGATTTTTCTGGAATTTAGTAGAATTAGAATTAGAATACCTATAGCGAGACGACGTTTTCATCATGTTCCTGGTCTGTTCAGTCTCTTTAGTTTTATTTTGGTCAACAAGGAAGTGGTAGCGTAGTGACAATGGTATTAATTTTTCTGGCACTCTTTCCTCAGTAATTTCAATATATCACTTCTCTTATATTTTCTACTGTTTCTCAAGTGGCAAAGATGTTAAAAACATCCGAATGCAAGCTTCAAGCAGTTTTCAGTTTTTCTTTCGGAGAGTAGTTGTTGAGCGAGGGAAACAACCATGAATGCTGAAAACTTCCACGTGCGAGTAGCATAACGCGCGTGGAGAAGCTCGGTGTGAGTCCATCTGCTTTTCCCACTCTCGTGGCGATCTTTCCCTTTTCGCGTTTTACGTCGAATTCGACCAAATATTTACCTACATTCACTTCACACACGTGAACAACTGTCATCGAGCAGGCCTCAGTTGTTCAAAAGGATAACGCTATCCACTGGATAGCGCAATTGGATTTTCTAATACTTAGCCGCTGGATAGTGATTTAAAGGGAAGATAGCGCTACCAAACGTTTGAAACTGACTGAGGAAAGCTGCCAAAGGCCGGTAACTTTACATTTCTTGAGTGCTGTGACCTAGAAATGTTTACACAGAAATCAGACGAGTTTACGAATAATTAGTAAATTAGTCACGAAGCTCCAGCAAGATAATTTTCTCGTTTCACTAACAATAACTTCAGAGCTGATATGAGTGGAAATGAAAAGCAAGTTGATTACCAATAATTCAGTACCATCGAATCCTCAAAGACACTCAGTCAAAGTATTCATTGAAGACGCTTAACGGGTTCAAGATGCGCTGGCTGGTTTTTCTCGCACTTTCTGTTATAATATCATATGCCGCGAATGGCGCCAAACCGTCAAACTTAAGCAATAACCAAACACCTCTTCCAACAGACTGCAAACAGCCTTCGCCGAATGTGACCGAAGTCTGCGACAACGCCCTCAAGAACATGGAAACGAAGCTGGAAAAACTCATCGCTAACAAGCTGGAAACAAAGCTGGAAAAACTGCTCCAACAGAACTTGGAAACAAAGCTGGAAAAGCTCACTGCGACGTGCCAGGACGCCTTCAAGAGAGTGGAGTCGAAGCTGGAGATAATCATTGCACAGTCTAACAAAACTTTATTGTCAGGTACAGTGTCCTTCATAGTAATTTTTAGAAAGTTTGACATATCGGTGAATTTTGCCTTTTAATCTAACAAGGTTTTTTTGTTCAGTCATGTCCACTTCTTGCAAAATTAAGGAACTGTACGATGTACACAAGTAAGTTCATTTCAGTCAATGCTTATTTTCCTGTATTTTCAAATTTGTGTGATTCATGTTTTCATCCCACCTTTACCAGCCATTCGAGCGTGTAGTAGAAAAAATCGAAACATCCTAACAAAAAAAACAGCGACGCACAGAGTAAAAAAAATGTTCATCTACAAATAGATGGCAGAACATGATGACAAAACGATTAAATAATCCAAATCATTACACATTTTGCATCAAGATTTCCAGTAAGAAAAATCGAACTTTGCTCACAAAAAGTGATAATTCGAGTCGCAGACTAGACGTTAGTCCAAATTATATTCCCAAAGCATCGATACACCTGAACGCCTTGGTTTTGATATTTGAGTACGTTTTCAATATTTGACAGAATTCGAAATTAGACCACGACTTCTAGTCACGTTCTATGAATGACAGGATTGCTTTGCTTGACGTTGATTCGCAAAGAGTAAGAACACATATTTTAGGCTGTCAAATTATCTCTTCTCCAACAGGTTTACGACAAGTCGAGTGTATACACTGAAGTTTGGTTCACGAACGATTCCTGTTTACTGTCGCATGGGAGACTTTGGATGCGGAGATGGAGGATGGACGCTGGCCATGAAGATTGACGGCACAAAGGTACACGTCTTACAAGCACGTCATTCCATGTTTGTGATATGGATATTAATTTTCTAATTTCCGTTTTCAGAAAACTTTTCATTATGATTCTCACCTCTGGAGCAACAAAAATACATACAACATTGCAGGAGGAAGGACCGGGTTTGATTCACAAGAGACCAAGTTGCCAACCTACTGGAACACAGCCTTCTCCAAGATCTGCCTGGGTATGAAGATCGGCCACCAATTACGGTTCGTTACTATCAACAAGTACGCCACTTCGTTGTACTCTCTGATCGCTGACGGCCAATACCGCGCCACCTCACTGGGTCGTAACAAGTGGAAGACGCTGATTGGTTCACAGGCCTCCTTACAGACCAACTGTAACAAGGAAGGGTTTAATGCTATCTGCAGCTCTAAACGAAATTCTAAAGCAAGAATTGGTATCACCAGTAATGAGGTCAATGATTGTGTCGGGTGTGACTCAGGATCGGGTTTGGCACTGGGGGAATCCCCGATAACAGCAATACATGTGGGAATGACGCTGCATGGTCACCAGACAATGGAGACAAGCACATCAAGACTATGGGTTACATCTTGGTTCAGTAATAAAAGCTAATAAAGCACTGAACTTGTCACAAGCGCTGCCCATTATATATTAAGAGATGTCTCGTCTCTATGTAGATTGCTAGTTTTTCAGAAGATAAAAATCCATAAGGGCGCATAAACCCATTGATTTTTTTTTGTGTGTGATCACAATAAACTGATAACAAAAAGGTAACTGAAGTGAACTTGTCACAGTCATTCAAATGAATAAGTGATACTTAGTGTACAAGGAGTAATATACCGCGTTCTGAAAGCGAATGTGAAGTAAGGATTAAAAGCGTTTCGTAAATAATGAAGTACATTGCATCATTTCTCATTTCTCAGAATCGAAAAAAGAAAATTACAGGGTAAATTTGCATGAAGAAAAAGGTTGAGAGCGACATGCTTGATCTTCGATTTAAAGGGCAACTTAAAAATTGTGCTTTCAAATTTTTGTAACTTAGAGTTTTCGGTGCTTAGACAGCTAATTCCAGTTCTCAAAGTTGGTCAAATAACTAGCCTGCATGCAAATCTCTCCTAATTCCGCTTTTACTTCGTGTGCCGGACACAAATGACGTAAAACGAAAGACCTCTATGTTTTCTCCGGTGCACGAAGTAAATGCCCCTATTTTCTTTGTTGAGGCGTATGCGCGCTGGCTGCTACCAAATGAAAAGCCTGTGTGATACCATTTTCGACGCCTGCTACCTTATTGGTACTTAATTTCGCGATTTTGGCGCGACAGTATTTCGCGGGGTTTTATTTTCGAGATTTTAACAAGTAAACATGAAAAAAGGGCATTAAGTTTCGCCATTTAAGCGTTCTCAACTCATTTTCTTTTTGTAATAAGTCTGGAAACAAGCAATGTGTGAAATCTTTGCAAACTAACGTCATTTCACAACGGAAGATACAAAATGCAGTTTATCAGGAAAATCAGAAAGCAATTTGTGTTTGTCGATACATATCGCTGTTATTACATGTCAATTGTTATTTGAATTTTCTATATGCCTTATTAAATAAGTTGTAGATACCGAAATAGTGAGACACTTCCGCATTGCAAGGATGTGGATTTTTCGGCCAATTCTCTGGATTGTAAGCTTTTTCTTTTTCAAAACAACAAATGCTGGAGCCCAGACCTCTGTGTACTGTGCAGTGGCCGAGGAACTAAAAGATGTGACTGGAAAATACTTCAAGGACTGTAAGATGACAGAGTGCAGTGCTTTAGCAAAAGATGAACAGCTGGCGACTGAACTGTGGAAGAAAAGTGAACAAATAACTGGACTAAAAAAACATGAACAGTAATTCACAGATTTTGTAGTCTTTTCTCTTTCATCACCGTTCACGGCTTCGAGAGGCTTTCTATTTTTACCAATACAGAGACCTTAGTAGATTCTAAGAGCAGGTCAACCACGAGGACGAGATTTTTTTAATAATAAGTAGTGCGCACGCGTGACAGGGAGCTTAAGCAACGACGACGGCGACGGCAAGGAGAACGGCAAAAAAGCAATAGGTTTGGATTAACAAAACAACAACTTTGCGCGTGCATCACACTTTTTTGTACATTTCCTTCCGGTCGTTGCACGGCTACGACGTGCAACTTCCTGTTTTCACGTTTTATGTAGAACGTGAACTTAAGACAAGGAGTCTCATTTTCTTTTTCAAACTTAGAATCAGACCTTTAAAACTTAATTCTAGAAAAATTCGTCAACATTTGACAAACTGAACGAGATGGAATGATGGCACTGAAGTTTGAAACAATGCGAATACACTTTGTTTACCACATGCTCCTGGTTTTAGCGAAAATGTGTGAGTGTGGAAACAAGTTATCAAATATTTGAAGTTTTATTTTGTCATCGGGAAAGGGCTTAACCTCCTTCACTAATAATAACCGTGTTACCTGTTAAATTTTCTGGTGAAAAAAAAAATGTAAAAATGAAACTTTCTGACCTGGCTTTTTTAGAAAACGCGAGAAAACGTTAAACTAGTCTCGTCCTCGTGTCGTCTGCGAATCTAAGTCATCTAAAGGTCTCTGTTGTTTGCGGTAGGTATAAAACCTGTTGCATTTTTTCTTCAGTTTTTGCATCTCTTACCAGAATATTGAACTTTCTTATCAAATAGCGTAATGTAACACTGCTCAATGTAAATTGAACTTTCTGACACAACGCTCTTTTGGTGATCAAAAAGAACATAAAAGTTTTCATTTAACGTGACAAGCGCGATTAATTTTAAATTATAAGGAAGGAAAAACTAACTCAGATAGCAAACAAGAAGATTTAGAGACGTTTAATATATGAAGTTACAATGCATGAAGATCTCCTAAGTTGATTAAAAGTGATACAAAAACAGCATTAACGATTTACGTTTTTTTTTTTTGGCAAATGGTACTGGTTAGAAAAGCTAAATTTGTGGCAGTTTTAAACTTCGCCGTAGCCACATTATGGCTTATCGAAACGTAACTCGTGTTGAAAACAGTAAGATGCGACAACGGTAAGAGGGGATGGGATGGGGATAAGGGGGAGGGGGAGGTGGTAGATCAGTCGAGGTCACTTGGTGGAGGTGGTTGTGTATGTAAGCTGTTTATGACTATGTCTGCCGCTTGGAGGATTCCTCTACCAGGCATTCCTCTGGCAGCCGATTGGTCATGAGCATTGCTGTTCCTGTAAAGCGGCGAACATTGTGACCTGTGGGTGTCGATGAGCCTGGCCTTCATCATCTGCTCCTTGCTGATAGGGAGGAAAATAGGCTCCTGCAACACAAGACATGTGTAAGAGGGTAACGGGCATAGTAAGCGGTGAACTTAACCTATTCAAAACTAGGAAATTGCCAAGCGAAACCGGCGATTCTAAGTGTGAAAATATGCTCAAATCTAGGAGGTACTGTGGAAGGTGGCGACACGACACAAGTAGAATTGAGTATATGTATTTAATAGATTTATTATCTTAGGACCTGTCGACATGCCTTTCGTTCGCAGCCTAGCCACACCACCCCCCGCCCCAAGCCACAGACCCCACCTGAAAGGAAACCTTCTTGTAACAGGGAGCTTCCAGAATATAACTGACATTCGAATTCACGCCTCTCCATCTCCCATAAGGAAGGATTATTTTTTTCTTTTCCGTGGAGGGTAAATAGAGAAAGTGCCTAAGAAGTCGCAGCGGCGTGCTGTACGAGAGTAGACATGCCCCACTAGGAAAACTGGCACTAGAGGAAATATCTTAAAATTGAAGCACATCATTTAGTCGAGGAAAAATTCGCCCGTTCCAGATTCCACGATAGTAATGTACAGGGATTGTGAAACCTCATGCGAAAACTGACGTGCCCTGGGTTGGGGAGGGAGGAGATCACGTGCGTCTTATGTTTCTTTGGCTTGTTTTGGCGGCCTCCCTATTATCTGAATGCCTGGAATAGTAGGCTAAGGAAAAATATGGTTCAAACTTTGTTCTTACCTGAGTTCTTGCAGCCTTTGTTGTTCTTCCTCATCTTCCTGATGTCGATGCAGTGTCTTTTTAGTATAATGAGCAAAGCTGATGTACAGTAGAACAGTGCTACTAAGGGTCACCACTAAAATAGACACAAGCTGCGGCAAGAATTCCTTCGCTTCATCAGTGCTTGTTACTTCAACGGAAAACCGCGTGGTAAGTTCACAAAAACTGCAGGGATATAGATGACAAAGACAGAAAGACATCAGGGAAAAAGGCACTTATCAGTAATGATAAAGAACTCAAAGCTATGCTGTAGGTACCGCCGCCAGAGGTTTTGGCTCAGTTGGTAAGGGCGTAGCCACCTATTTTTTCCTTTTAAGCCCAAATTGTAGAAAGGGCATTTTAGGGCATTTTCTAAGGAGCCACTTGGCTACCTAGGTACTTAGTATTTGTTAAATTCTACAAAGTTAGTCTCCAGAATTAAAAAACAAAACCAAGAACAAAAAAGAAATCAAACAAAGAGAAAACTGTTTACTAGATATTATTTGATAGCAGATACTCCAAAATAATGGGTTCTTAACCTATATAATCCCAGCAGGTAATCAGAGTAAACAAACGGGAATCCTACGACGTATTTGCAGGAAAAACCAAGAAGCTGCCAGCGACATTACTTTCCTAATGAATTGTGTGCCAATTTTGCATGCCCATTAGTTCGACAGACATTGGTTCTTGTAGTGTAGGTGCAACTTTACACCCTGTTAAAATGCCATTACATAAGCTCATTTTGAACCAAATTCTTGTTAAGTTCGGGCTTAATGGCTTAAAGGCAGCCCCGCCGCCCCTGGTTGGTAAGGCCATGGGCTCAATCCCAAGCGACACTTGGGACAACTAAAAGACATGTAAACCTCTAGGCTGCTCCACGCTTTAGTTAGCGAACAGATTCTCTCCAAGCCTGCTGGTGGGCTGTTGGTGGTACGAGGGATTTTCGAGAGGGACAGCACTACTGTAATCGTCCCCACTGTTATCACGGCCTTTTAGCCTAATCAAAAGCGCCTGTGGAATGAAGCCGTCGCGCGCGACAAATCCCACCAGCTACAACGCAGGCTACGTCTTTCCACGTTCTTCGCAAAGTTTTTCTCGCACGCTCGCTAGCTTAGCACTCGTCCCGAACTAAGAGGCTGGAACATGCTCAAAAATCCCTTAAACTTGTACAGGCCTTTTTTTCTAGCTAGAAATATCACTCACCTAAAATGAGCACCAACAACTCTGAGTTGGAATCGGAATAACCCAGAACCAAGAAACACCAACTGGAATATCCCGGATGAGTTTAGAATCTCGTACGGCTGGCTTCCATCAAAGCTCTTATCACTTGGGTCTGGCTCGAAACTGCTGTGATAGTTCTTAAGAATAAGAGAGGGTGTCACGTTTGTTCAATTGACACAACAACAACTACAACAACATTAAATCTTTACCTTTCCTTAATTCAAGTTTCACAAAAGCGCACTGGCAGCTAGTGCTTTGATCTTGGCGGGACAGACACAGTCAGTCAACTCACCTCACTACTACTGCAATCAATTTAGGTAATAATTCAATTCTTTTGTGTACATGTCTGTCTATGCACGAAAGATGTTGCAACGGAGAAAAAGGATTTTGTTTTTGGAGTGATTTTACTTTATCTCCTATTTAACAAACGAATTGGCATCTGTTTTAAACAATTAAACAAACAACTAGACATCCGCACACGATACAGTAAAAACCCACGAGTAAGAACCTAAGATTTAAGAACCTGTTAGGCTAAAATTTGCAATTTAGACCCCCTCTATACAAGAACCTCTTTAGCCTAAAATTTGGAGAAAGGTTCTTATATGTTGTTTGATTGAGGTCATTGAGAAAATGTTTATAATATTGTGTTTTAGAGCACAATCATGTATATAAAGTTGTTTTGACTCAAGAAATTAAAATTCACGTGAGAATAGATCTCTATTATGGTCATACTAAAATATAAGCAACATTAGGTATGCAAACTTAAGGGTGCTGATCACTAAAATCTTCTTAGCAACGACATAATTTCTTGCAAGAAATTAAGAACCTATTAAGAACCTAGATAGCCTAAATTTATGTTAACCAGGAAAATGTAGGTTCTTACTTGGGGTTTTTTACTGTAGCTCTAAAAAAAGAAATAAAAGAAAAGAAATAGGACAAGAAAAACCAACATTTTGTGTCCAGAGGTTTGTTGTTTCTCCAGAGATATTTGTGGTCATTCTTCTCCATGACTGAGCTTCTTTTAAACAACCAGCCTATCAAAGAAAAGTAAACCAAATGAGGAGGATTTTACCAACTTTCCCTAAACTGAGTGGACATGTGTTCCGACCGATTTCGTTAGTCGTATTAATTTCATTTAACAACTACTCAAACTCAGCAATCAAGGAAAGTATATAAGTTCTCCTATAATCTGTTTCATTTTTACTTTGCTTCGCTTCCCCTCCTGCCGAAAACCATCGTCAACCTTGTGGATTTGTTGAAGTGGCTATATCACGCTATTCGCTATATTTTTAAAAAGCTAAATTTGTCTTCGCATCAATGGACTTCCAAAAATACTGGCCCAGTTTTGTTATTTAAGACTATATTTAGGCAACGAAATCGTTTCCTGTCGTCTGTTGCAACGGATGGCAAGGATGGAAATGGATTGAAACTTTTTCAAGTTTTAATGCTATTCCTGCAAACTGAATTACCCCCAAAAACTTTATGGTTTAGTGCTCTCTGGTGAAATTTTATGATATCTTCTTCATAACTTTACAGGAGCATTTTGTGTATGGGCAAAGACACTTGGTAATGACTTCACCACAGAATTGACCTAAAACAGCGAGAATCTCGTGGCAGCCCCTCGCATTCAGTGAAACCTTCTAATACACATGAGTAAATCTGACCATTCTCAATTATCACAGCAAGTTCGTCTCTCGCGCGCACCTCTGTCATAGTTGCTGTGTAACGGTAATCTGCCCTTCCTGTTTCTTCCCACACTACATAGTCTGTGTGCACCTCTTGTACAAATCTGTCCTTTTCATACCTAGAGGATAAATAATTCATTGGCGAGTTACTGCGCGTATTACCGTAAATCCTCTATTAAGCCCTTCCCTCCCTATTAAGCCCCCCTCTTTGCAGAGGAGGAAATTTCAGAATAAGCTCCCCCTCCCCCTCCTCTCCATCCTTAATTCTTCACAAAAAATTAAAGTGGACTGATCAGTTGTGGTTTATTCAGGCTAGAAATTCATTCATATTGTTTTTGGTCTTCGGCTGCATGACCTCCAACTTCAAGTGCTTAACTTTTTCAACTTTACGCTCTAGTTCTCTGTGGAGAATTGTTACCATTTTGTTATTGTTAAAAAAAGTAGTATTACGCCCGGGAACCACAAGTCCGTCCTAGAGAAACCTTGCTCTAGGTCCCCCTCTCTATTAGGCCCCTTCTCAAAAGTGCTTGGAAAAAATAAGCCCCTGGGGAGCTTAATAGAGGATTTACCTGACTCGTCCCCAGGCGTCTCAAGTTGTCTCTACTCATTAATCATTTCATCGGGAAGCGCTTGGGTTATGCGGGCGGGCAAGATGGGAAGGCGAGAGTCTCTCCCTTCTTCCTTCCCGTCATCCCCTTCGTTAAAGAGCCTGTTCTAGTCTTCCACGCCAAATACTAATAATGAGAGACGACTGGGGACGAGTCTAAGGATTTACGGTAATCAGAGTAGCACAACCGAACATAAAGTACTCGCAAAACTCGCAATCGTGATTGAGGTTTAAAAACTCTCGGCTTCGACAGCTATAGGTTGACAATGGTTTTCCGAAGGAGGGGTTTGAATAGACTGACAAAAATAAATAATTACGAACTGAAAGCCTGAAAAAATTCAGTAGTGGCAGCGCAAGAATCATGGGAAAGTAACGCAAAGGCACCCGGGAAGACCCCTTACGCCGCGACTACCGCAGAAACAAGACGCGCTTGGGTACGAGGCAGGTCCGTAAGCAAGCTCGAGCTCTCTCCCGACTAGTTCAATCGATAAAACCGATAATCGATAACAATTGAACAACTTGATGAAAATTAGTTAATTGTATCGATGTAAGCCCCTTATCAAACGCATCGGCATCGGCAAAAACACAGCTTGTTTCCTAAACGCTGTCTCGGGAAGAACATGTATTTTGCATTTACAATTAAGTGTCAATGAGTACACAGTCCTTAATGAAAAAGATAAAATCGCTAAATCGATAAATTCAATACCTTAAAAGAGCAGCGATGGTTCTGAGTATCGATTTCTATCGATTGATCGATAAAATCGATTTTCTTTAACTACTTATCGTTTTCCGATATCGGTTTTTATCGATTGAACTGGTCGGGGCTCTCTGGAGATATTGTGAGGAGTCACACGCAAGCAGGCCAGTGGCATTAGAAATAAGATGCGAACTTGCCATTCGCTCGCGCTTTTTCTCGCGGCTCGCTTTACGCGCCTCTCGAAATTGAGAGCTTTTTCCCGGGCTAAATCAATACTGAACTGACCATCGGATGAAAGGGGATGTTAAGGGCTCACTCGTCCCCAGTCGTCTCTCATTATTAGTATTTGGCGTGGAAGACTATAACGGGCTCTTTAACGAGGGGGATGACGGGAAGGAAGAAGGGAGAAGGGAGAGACAATTTACAAGGCAATTAACAGCTTAAAAATACGCGTGATGGAGAGGCCTATTTTGAAGATTTCGGTCTTCATTGACATCCGCCTTTATTTTGTTCGCAATATTGGAAACGGGATCTGCCAGTCGTCTCCCCTCCTCTCGCCTTCCCATCTTCCCCGCGCGCATAACCCAAGCGCTTCCCTAGTAAATAATTAATGAGTAGAGACAACTTGGGGCCGAGTCAATGTTAGGGGAGCCTAATCATATACAAACCACCACGAAAGATAACTGATATCTGTCAGGATAATATGCTAACTATCAAACCGGAACATTACCTTTGGAAAAAATTTGCATAATCGATATTAATTTGATTGTTTTGACTCCAGAAGGTTTGTTAGATTTTTTTCAGTCTACAATTTTAAATTGAGATTTGTTTTCAAGCGTTCTTGAATTTTCTCTGATGCAATGTATTTTCGGATTGTGAGCGGTTCTTCCTCTGTAAGCGACTGCGGACTAGGAAAGAAAAGACGGGTAGAAAATGAATCCAAACTGTCTATTCGCCTTTTGTCTAAGCGATTTTTATGCCGACTTCATCTCAATTATTATTCAGCCTTTTGTCCGGCAAATTTGCCTTTATATTTGGTGCAAAGTTGTCAAATATAATGCCGTTCTTTAAATTTGCGAAACCTAAGGATTTAGGAAATGTGTACAACAGAAAACACTTCAAGACAAAGCAGATTAGTACGCTAACTAAATTGTAAAGTGAAAAATGAACTTCACAAATTCATGACGCGGCTATACGGACGAGAGAATTTTCCTGTCTATCTTTTGTTAATAATATCTTATTGTTACCAACTCCTGCGGGTGTCAGTATTAGGAGATTATAGTAAGCCAAAGGACTCGTTGCCGAAACAAAAGACACAAGCTAATTTCCAAAATGCGTTCGTTCTTGGTTTTTCTCGCCCATATTGCCATACTATCAGTTGTCGCGAATGCTGCAAAATTGTCGAACTCGCCCAATGCAGCTTGTAATGCCATCAAGAAGTTGGAAAACAAACTTGACAAGCTTGCACAGAACTTGGGGGAAAAGTTGGAAAATCTAACTGCACTAATCAGCAAGACTTCCACGCCGGGTAAAAAGTCGACCTAAAATATTTCAACATATAGTTTTGGCTTAAAGTGAATTTTATCCCCAACCTTACCGGAAATATTATTTTTCCTTCTAGTCGTTCCCGCCTCCTCTTGCAAGGAACTGTATGATAATCACGGGTAAGTTTACTGATCGGTTTTTTGATGCATCACATGCATGTTACAACTACCTATATTTTGCCGCAATTCCTTTACTCTTTTAGTAGGACAGAACCCCTTGCCCGTTTCTTTTTTAGTGAGCATCTTGAATTGGGACGAGACGATGTTTCTCGCCTGACATTTATTGACAAAGATGAAGAGGACTGTTCATTTTTGTCGCTTAAATTTTTCTCCATCAGGTTAACTTCCAGCCGAGTGTATACGCTGAAGTTTGATTCACACAAGTTTTCTGTTTACTGTCACATGGGAGACTTTGGATGCGGAGATGGAGGATGGACGCTGGCCATGAAGATTGACGGCACTAAGGTACAGGTCTTTCAGCTTATCACCTAACTGTGATATGAATATTTATTTTATGATTCTCGTTTGCAGAAAACTTTCCACTACGATTCTCATCTCTGGAGCGACAAAAATCCATACAACATTGCAGGAGGGAGAACTGGGTTTGATTCACAAGAGACTAAGCTGCCGAGCTACTGGAAAACACCCTTCTCCAAGATCTGCCTCGGTATGAAGATCGGCCACAAGATAAGATTCTTTACCATCTACAGGTACGCCAACTCGCTGTACTCGCTGATCGCTGACGGCCTATACCGCGCCACCTCACTGGGTCGAATCACGTAGAAGTCGCTGATTGGTCCACAGGCATCCTTACAAAAATACTGTAACAAGGAAGGGTTCAATGCTATCTGCAGTGATAAACCACATTCCAAGGCAAGAATTGGTATCACAAGCAATGAAGCGAACGATTGTTTCTTGTGTGACTCCAGAATCGGATTTGGTACAGGAGGAAATCATGACGACACAAACACGTGTGGAAATTTTCCCCAGACAACGGAAACAAGCACATCAAAACCATGGGCTACATCTTGGTTCAGTAGTAAAGAACCCAGAACTTTCCAATGAGCATTAAAATTTTAGTCGGTTAGTTTACCTCAAGTTTTCTCTCAGAAGAAACAAAATTCACAGTGGGACATAGGTGCCACTTAGGTTAGATGATCTTGTAAAGATTGCCTTATATTCTAAATAAAGTGGGGAACAATTAAATTCATGGTTGTTTTAGTTTGATATGAATAAGAGAGACTTCTGTTACGGCGCACTAAATCAGATCCTCGTGATGACAGATTACCTTGAGGATAAAAAGTCTAACAGAGCAGGCTTTGAAAAGGATCAAACAATTAAAGAGTTGCAAGCGATCCGGTGCCATCCAAACCCTTGAGTTTTCTTCAAATACAGGGAAAAAGGTAAAGAGTCCTTATTTTAAGTCGTTAGCTCGAAATAGTTATCTGCCAAATAAACCTGAGGCCAAAGGTGTGCTTAGTTTACCCGCTCCCGACGGACTAAGCACCTCTGTGCGTCACAAATTTTGGCCTCCGCACATTTCAATACCCTGACTCGCGTTATAGGCGCGCACTTAGTTTAGACTAAATAGACAGATTAAGATTCACGTTTACGGCAAACGGCAGTTGAGGATTTCTCAGAATAGAAAATAAGCAGATAAAAACAGTCCAGAACAATTCTTTTGGATAAAACTGGCATAAAACTACTTATTTTTGTGTAGAAGCAATAAACAGTAAACGAAAAATAAGGGGAAAACTTGGTCACGTGGTACAAATTCACGTTTGCCATTTGGCGTAAACGTGATCTTAATCTCTCTGATGTTGTAAGTTGCTGCGACAACAATCTCTGTTAAAATGGTTATAAAAATATCCCGCCTGTAGTTTAGCGAGCTAGACAGTAGAGAACTGTTAATGCGACTACAGTTGGGCAATGAAACATCTTGGGAGTAACAAAGAGGAGCTCGTTTTGAAAATAACAAAAATGACTCCATTTTTTTACGTTTGGGTCGAAAGAACGTGGTCTTAATACTGAGGTGGTTGTATGAGCACGGTGGTCGTTGAGCGAGGTTCCATTGTATTAAGAGCAGTTGTGTTTCTTATGCACCAACTCCGCTAAACTTAACTGGTCCCTAAGTGGATAGCGCTTCACCAACATTTTTACAACTTGGGCAAACTGTCAAAGGTTGCTCTACATTTCTTAAGTGCTGTGACATAAAAAGAGAAATGTTTACACAGAAAACTGACGAGTTTACGAATAATTAATTAGTGAACTAGTCCGTCAAGGAGTTCCAGCAAGATAATTTTCTCGTTTCACTAACAATAACTTCGGTGCTCATATGATACGACTGGAACTGAAAAACAAGTTGGCTACTAGTAATTTCTACTATCGAATCGTCACGGACACTTGAGTCAAAGTAGTCATTGAAGACGCTTTATTCAACATGCGCTCGCTGGTTTTCCTCGCACTGGCCGTAATCATATATGGCGTGAATGGCGCCAAACCATCAAAATTGGGCCGCTATAACCAAACACCTATTTCAACAGACTGCAAAAAGCCCCCTGCTGTTTGTAACTGTAATCTGACGGTGAATCAAGATTCTCAAGTCTCCGGTGCCATGAAAACTTTAGACGTGAAGCTGGATAAACTCGTTGCACAAAATTTGGATAAAAAAGTGGAAAACCTCGAAAAGAATTCGAAAAAACAGCTGGAAAAACTTACTGGCCTAATCAACAAATCTGCCACCGGCTCCAGGCGTTGTGACCACGACATCGTTGAACGAGACCGAAATCTGCGACAACTCCCTCAAGAAGATGGAAACGAAGCTAGAAAAACTTATCGTTAACAAGCTGGAAACAAAGCTGGATAAACTGCTCCAAAAGAACTTGGAAACAAAGTGGCTGGAAAGGCTTACTAAACTAATAAACAAGACCGCCGATCCAGAAATTGTTCGCCAATTGTTGAACGGTACCTTCGACGCTGCTCTCAAGGAAATAGAAACGAAGCTGGAAAAAATCAGAGAACTGACCCACAAAGGTAATTTTTCAGGTAGAGTGACCTAAGTATTTCTAAAGAAAGTTTGGCATATAGGTGAATTTTGTATTACAATCTAACTGGCGCTTTTTATATTTACATGTTTTTTTTTGCAGCCATTTTCTCTGCTTCCTCTTGCAAGGAACTGTTCGATATGCACAAGTAAGTAATCATTCCAGACAAGGCTTTATTTTGCTGCATATTAAAATTAGTGTGATTTACGTTTTTACTTCAGCTTTTCATTAAAAAGACATTCGAGTATGTAGTATTAATGCGAAAAATCGAAACATCGTGACAAAAAATGGAGACCGGCGAACAATGTAAAATTTACAAATAGAGACCAGAACATAATGACAAAAAGATTAAATAATCCAAATCATTACACAATTATTACATCTAGTGAGAAAAATCAAACTGTGCGTGCAACTAAAAAACAAAAGGCAAAAAAAAAAAAAAACAGTTCAGATTATTAGAGTCGCACACTAGACGAACAGCCAATCGATTTTCGATTCGAATGTTGTTTGTTTTCGGTTTGCCTTTATTCTGCAATTCGCCACGACTCGATGCACTTGAATGCCTTGTTTTCACGATTTATAAAGGTACTTTCAATTACTTGACAGCATTCGGGAGTAGAAAACAACTTTAAGTCTGTTCGTTCCATTTGAATGACAGAATTACATTGTTTGACGTTTATTCACAAGGATCAAGAACTCATATGTTTGGCTATCAACTGATTTCTTCTCCAACAGGTTAAAGACAAGTCGTGTGTATACCCTGAAGTTTGGTTCACAAAAGATCCACGTGTACTGTCACATGGGAGACTTTGGATGCGGAAATGGAGGATGGACTCTGGCCATGAAGATTGACGGCACAAAGGTACATGTCTTACGCGTCACCCCATTTTTGTGATATTGATATTAATTTTCTAATTTCCGTTTTCAGAAAACTTTTCATTACGATTCTCACTTTTGGAGCGACAGAAAGCCACTCAACTTTGCGGGGGGAAGGACTGGGTTTGATTCACAAGAAACCAAGTTGCCAACCTACTGGAACACACCCTTCTCCAAGATCTGCCTCGGTATGAAGATCGGCCACAAGATAAGATTCTTTACCATCTACAGGCACGCCAACTCGCTCTACTCGCTAATCGCTGACGGCCAATACCGCGCCACCTCACTTGGTCGTAACACGTGGAAGTCGCTGATTGGTCCACAGGCATCCTTACAAAAATACTGTAACAAGGAAGGGTTCAACGCTATTTGCAACGATAAATATTCCAAGGCAAGAATTGGTATCACAAGCAATGAATGGAACTATTGTGGCGGGTGTGACTCCAGAATCGGATTTGGTACTGGAGGGCATTTTGAAGACACAAACACGTGTGGAAATGAGGCTACATACTCACCAGACAACGGAAACTTGCACATCAAGGCCATGGGCTACATCTTGGTTCAGTAGTAAAGACTGCCTGGAACTTTCCATGAACATTAAAATGTTCAGTCGGTTAGTAGTTTAGCTCAAGTTTTCTCTCTGAAGGTCTCACTAATATGGGTTAGATGATGTTGGAAAGATTGCCTTATATTCTAAATAAACTGGGGAACAATTAAATACATGGTTGTTTTAATTTTCGATAATTTGATATGAATAAGAGAGACGTCTTTTATGGTGCACTAAATCGGATCCTCATAATAACAGATTGTGAGTATTCTTAAAAACATTCCAGTTATTTTCCTGTCGAAATTGCATTTGCACAATCCTCATCAGCGAAATCAAATAAATGGTGGATATTTCCGGTGACCTTTCGTAGATGAAGAAGCAAAAAAGCAGATTAAAAAAAACTGTGGACGCGTTGGAAAGACACCGAACAACAATACCCACACCAAAAAGCGAACCATCAATAGTTTTCCCATCAGCAAGAAACACCAAATAAGGGAGCCTTTGTTTTTTCCTCTCTTCCTTATGCGTGTCGCCTTTCCTCGGGGGGGGGGGGGGTGATTTTCGCGCACGCTCGCCCTCCTAGGCCTGAGATACAGGACTACTCGTAGGCTAGAGTCATGTACGAGTTGAGCCAAACCAGCTAACTTCCTGTGACTGCAAAGATGCCTGAAATTGATTTTGCTGAACACTAATACACAAAATACTTCACTTCGTTAATTTTTGGATAAATTGAAGAAAAACGCGCACGTTTCTGGGACTGTCAGGCGAATTCTCTTAGTTTACTTTCCAGCCTCTCTTTAAGGCGGCTGAACACAGTTTTGGCAGTTTGTGTGTGTATCTCATTTGCCAAATCATGGCAAGAGATAGGTTGCAGCTCACAAGCTGACAAGTGACAAATATACAGATGAAAGATAATGTGACGTTTTCGTAGTTTCCATGGCAACATGAACTACTGAATACAACCTTAAAATTTCAGTTTTGCTCAGTTTACATAAAATTCGCTCATTAGATTTACCCATAAACTTGCACACAGCTTACTATAATTAATCATTACCATTTGAAACTTATTTGACCAAATTTTAACAGACGGGTTTTTACATAATCAATAATATAATTGTACTGTAATTGTTAAATGTGTCACAAAATTCGTCTGTTCAACTTCCATTTTAAAGTCCTCATTATTAAAATACGATAAAAGTAAGATTTCTGCCAAATGTCACAAAATTTTAATGAGTAGTTTTGAGAAATCGTCTTCTGTGTTCCATTACTTTTTTCACTGCCTTGTTTGTTTGTCTAATTTAAAATAAGCGCCGCCACGCGAGTCACCGCTGACCGCCCGCAAAACTTTGTTGAGCGACCTTAATTCGAGATAAGTGAACAAGGACAGGGAACACCTTGATGATGTCTTAAGAGAATAACCCTTTACACGAGTTTGCGAACCTTACTGGTGTCAGATTTTAGGCTCTGTAGCTATCGACCACTTCCGACGGACTAAAGCACCGTGAGCGTCACAGATTTTAGCTCCCACACATTTCCATGCCTGACTCATGTTATAGGCCCGCAGTTTGTTTATAAATTCGACACTCAAAAAACGAGAAAGGAACTGGGCCGAGACTTCTGTGACTGTTACTTGGGACTGGAAAAAATTGGCCAATGGCTGACGGGCGCCTCCCTACTAACGATCCCAGAAACCATTGCGGGACGCATTTCGGGTCCAGGCGCCCGATAATTAATGGAGTATTTTGCTAGCCAGGACCCGCGCTTTAATTCCTTTTATTTCGATTTGAATATTTGATTTCGGGCCGGAAAAGTTACCGGGACTTTGGAGAAACGGGCCCCTGTTAACCATAGGTGAGGTTCCACTTTCTAAAGAGCGGCCTTTAACTAGTCCCTTATTTTCCTCGGGGAAAGTAGAGCGATCAAAACACATGTGTGCGATAGAAAACTCATTCCGAGAGGACTGAGGCGAAATTTTCGACAAGACTAACTTTTTCTTAAGACGTATATTTAACGCTGCACATTCATTGACAATTAGGTTACTTAAGGCAGCTTCTTTCAGCTTCTTTCAGCGAGCTGTAAACATAGTCTAGGTAATAAGGCTAAAATAATAGGAAGCTTTAGCAAAGACGTTTTTGAGCGACTCACGTCAACCAAAAGTGGAAGTTTTGCATTCTAAGGACGTGGTTTTGCACAAATTTTCGAGCAAATTAAAGCGAATCTATAAGAATAAAGGCACTTAGTAATTAAAAATTTAATAGCGTCAAGGCATATTTTTTCAAAAAGAAAAAGGCTCACTTCTGGCTGAAGGGCGTCGCTCAAAAACGTTTCTGCTTAAACTCCCTAATTACTAAAGAGAAACAAAAGTAATTGTCTTAAACACTTGAAAAGGAGAATAAACACGGCAGGCAATTTTCCAGTCGAAGATGAAACTCCCGACAATTATCAGAAAATATTTTGGACCAATATTTACTCAGCCGAAGGGAAATGTGTGCTTTTGATCGAAATCAGAGCTTAAAGATCAACAGAAGACAGTTGAAAAATTAAACTTTTCGAACAAAATCTTACACCAATCTCCAAAGCAGCCGGATCTACATGCATTTACTGATCTAAGATGTGAATTCAACTCTGGAATTCAGCAGTTATAGGACATCTATGGCGAGACGACGTTTTGATGTTCCAGTCTCATTTACAGTCTATTTTTGTCAACAAGGAAGTGGTAGAGAAATGACAATGGTATAAATTATTCTGGTACTTTTTCCTTAGTAGTTTAAATATATGAGTTCTCCTCACTTCTATTTCCCACAACGCAAAGATGTTAAAAAGCATCTGAATGCAAGCTTCAAGAAGTATTCTGGTTTTTCGCAAGGAGAGAAGTAAAGTGAAGCAAAGGAGACACGCGTGTGTTCTAAAAATCTGCCACGTGCGAGTACATAACATGACGAGCGTGGAGAAGCTGGGTGTGAGTCCCTCTGTTCTTCCCTCTCTTTGGGCGATATTTCCCTTTTTCGCTTGTTAGTTTGACACAGTAAAACACTCAATTGGCAGTCTAATCGAAAAATTATACCGTGATAGGTTTAGTATTTCAACTGATATACTTAAAGCAAACTAATTACAGTGAAAAGAGTTGTTACTTTAGACTGAGTGATCGTTTATGATGAATATTTTAGCGTCAAATTCGTCCGCAAATATTTACCTAAATTCACTTCGCGCCAGTGAATAACTGTATTCAAGCAGGCCTCAGTTGTTCAAAAGGTGGATAATGCCCCCGGATTCATCTCTATCCACTGGATAGTGCAATTTCTTTCCCTAATACACTTGTACTTACCAGTTGGATAGTGACTATCCGGTGGATAGTGCCTCCCAACGTTTGAACTGAGGCAAGCTGTCAGAGGTAACTCTACATTTCTTAAGTACTGTGACTTAGGAAGAGAAATGTGTACACAGAAAGCAGACGAGTTTACGAATAATTAGTGAATTAGTCACGAAGCTCCAGCAAGATAATTTTCTCGTTTCACTGACAATATTGCGGCGCTGATATGATATGAGAAGAAATGAAAAACAAGTTGGTAACCAGCAACCAGTACCATCGAATCGTCACAGACACTTAAATCAAAGTATTCGTTGAAGACGCTCAACGGTTTCAACATGCGCTCGTTGGTTTTCCTCGCACTGGCTATTATAATATCATGTGCCGTGAATGGCGCCAAACCGTCAAACTTGGGTCGCTATAACCAAACATCTCTTCCAACAGACGGCAAAAAGCCTCCGGCTGTTTGTAACTGTAACCTGACTAACCTGACGGTGAATCAAGATTCTCAATTCTCCGGTGCCGTGAAAAGTTTAGAAATGAAGCTGGATAAAATTCTTGCACAGAATTTGGATACAAAAATACAAAAACTTCTCGAAAGGAATTCCAAAATGCAGCTGGAAAAACTTATTGGACTCATCAACAAAACTGCCACTCCAGACGTTGTGACTACGACATCGTCGAACGAGACCGATAACTGCGACAGCGCCCTCAAGAAGATGGAAACGAACCTGGAAAAACTTATCATTAAAACGCTGGAAACGAAGCTGGAAAAACTGCTCCAACAGAATTTGGAAACAAAGCTGGAAAGACTTACTGCACTAATAAACAAGACTGGAGATCCAGAAATTGAAACCAAATCGTTGAACGCGACCTGCGACGCTGCCCTCAAGAAGTTAGAAACAAAGCTGGAAAAAATAAGAATACTGACCAACAAGGCTTATTTGTCAGGTAAAGCGATCTAAGTATTTCTAAAGAAAGTTTGGCATATTGATAAATTTTGTCTTATAATCTAACTGGGGTTTCATAGATACACGTTTTTTTTTTTTGCAGCCATTTCCTCTTCCTCCTCTTGCAAGGAACTGTTCGATATGCACAAGTAAGTAATCATTCCATTCAACGCTTAGTTTGCTGCATGTTAAAATCAGTGTAATCCACGTTTTCATTTCAGCTTTTTATTAAAAAGGCGTTCGAGTATGTAGTTTTAATGCAAAAAATCGAATCATCGGAACAAAAAATGGAGACGAACGGAGTTATCAAAGTAAAATTAACAAATAGATATCAGAAAATGATGACAAAAAGATTAAATAATCCAAATCATTACACAATTTGTGATTATCCAGTGACAAAAATCGAACTGTGTGCTCAATTGAAAAACAAAAACAAAGCAAACACTTCAGTGGACATAATCAGATTATTAGAGTCGCACATTAGACGTAAAGGCAATCGATTTTCGACTTGTTGAGTTGTTTGTTTTCGGTTTGCCTTTAGTCTTGAATTCCTGACGAAAGTTGACGAATCAATGCACTTGAATACCTATAGCCGTTTTCGATTTAATGTACTTTTAATTACTTGACAGCACTCGGAAGTAGAACACAACTTAAAGTCTACGGTTGTGATCACGCTCCATTTGAATAACAAAAATACATTGTTTGACGTTTATTCATAGACGACATATTTTTGACTATCCACTGATTTCTTCTCCAATAGCTTTACGACAAGTCGTATGCATACGCTGAAGTTTGGTTCGCAAAAGATCCCCGTTTACTGTCACATGGGAGACTTTGGATGCGGAGATGGAGGATGGACTCTGGCCATGAAGATTGACGGCACAAAGGTACATTTCTTAAGCGTCACCCCATGTTTGTGATATTGATATTAATTTTCTAATTTCCGTTTTCAGAAAACTTTTCACTACGATTCTCACTCGATTGCCGGCATCGCCAGCTCGCGCTGGCGGCTGCCATAATTTTTCCCGATCTTGCACAACATAAAAGAACCTACTCACATACTCAACAAGCATCACGCTTAAGGGTTTCACTGCAGTATAAAGTAAATTTGAGCCTAATTCTGAAAATGCCGTCGTCTTACACCAGTCCCAAGGGCAGAAGGATTTATAATTACTTCTCAATCTATGAAGTGAATTCAACTCTGGAATTTAACAGAATTAGAATACCTACAGCGAGACGACGTTTTCATAATGTTCTTGGCGTACTTACCATTTACATGGAAAAACCGGAAATTCCGGTTGGGAAATCAAATGGTTCGCGCCATTCCGTTTGGGAAGCGTCAGAAAATGTGGGCTGTGATTTGCAGCGATGCAATTTTTCTACTCTTGTTGGTCTGTTCAGCCGATTTTGATATACTCTGTAGCGGGTTGTTCTCCCACCACGTCAAATTTCATAGTTTTATGTTTATGCACAGGATTTCCACCCGGGTGGTTTGTATAAATATTAAGCGCCCCTGATCTCTTCACTCTCTTTAGTCTTATTTTTGTCAACAAGGAAGTGGTAGATAGTAGTGACAATGGTATCAATTATTCTGGAACTCTTTCCTCAGTAGTTTAAATATATCACCTTTTCTTATATTCACTACCGTTTCTCAAGTGGCAAAGATGTTCAAAACATCAGAATGCAAGCTTCAAGTAGTTTTCAGTTTTTCTCTAGGAGAGTGGTTGTTGAGAGAGGGAAACACGCGTAAATGCTGAAAACTTCCACGTGCGAGTAGCATGACGCACGTGGAGAAGCTGGGTGTGAGTCCATCTGATTTTCCCACTCTCGTGGCGATCTTTCCCTTTTCACGTGTAAGTTTTACAAAATAAAGGAACTCCGTTGGCAGTCTAACCGAAAACTTTACACCGCGATAAGTTTAGTATTATAATCAAAGCCTCACTGAAACGACAGTTACCTTCAAACTGAGTGATCGTTTATAATGAACATTTTACGTCAAATTCGACCAAAAATTTACCTACATTCACTTCACACACGTGAACAACTGTTATCGAGCAGGCCTCAGTTGTTCAAAAGGATAACGCTATCCACTGGATAAATCTCTATCCACTGGATAGCGCAATTGGATTTTCTAATACTTATCCGCTGGATAGTGATTTATAGGGAAGATAGCGCTTCCAAACCTTTGAAAAACTGACACAAGCTGCCAAAGGTCGGTAACTTTACATTTGTTAAGTGCTGTGACCTAGAAATGTTTACACAGAAATCAGACGAGTTTACGAATAATTAGTAAATTAGTCACGAAGTTCCAGCAAGATAATTTTCTCGTTTCACTAACAATAACTTCAGAGCTGATTAATGAATGGAAATGAAAAAAAAATTGGTTACCAATAATCCAGTACCATCGAATCCTCAAAGACACTTAAGTCAAAGTATTCATTCAAGACGCTTAACGGCTTCAACATGCGCTCGTTCGTTTTCCTCGCACTTGCTGTTATAATATCATATGCCGCGAATGGCGCCAAACCGTCAAACTTACGCAATAACCAAACACCTCTTCCAACAGACTGTAAACAGCTCTCGTCGAATGTGACTGAAGTCTGCGACAACGCCCTCAAGAAGATGGAAACGAAGCTGGAAAAACTCATCGCTAACAAGCTGGAAACAAAGCTGGAAAAGCTGCTCAAACAGAACTTGGAAACAAAGCTGGAAAACCTTACTGCGACGTGCCAGGACGCCTTCAAGAGAGCGGAGTCGAAGCTGGAGATAATCACTGCACAGTCTAACAAAACTTTATTGTCAGGTACAGTGTCTTTCATAGTAATTTTTAGAAAGTTTGACATATCGGTGAATTTTGCCTTTTAATCTAACAAGGGTTTTTTTTGCAGTCATCTCCACTTCTTGCAAGGAACTGTACGATGTACACAAGTAAGTTCATTTCAGTCAATGCTTATTTTGCTGTATTTTAAAATTTGAGTGATTCATGTTTTCATCCCAGGTTTACCAGCCATTCGCGCGTTTAGTGGAAAAAATCGAAACATAACAAAAAAACGGCGACCCACACATTACAGATAGATGGCACAACATGATGACAAAAACATTAAATAGTCCAAATCATTAAACAATTTGCATCAAGATATCCAGTAAGAAAAATCGAACTGTGAACACAAAAAGTAAGAATTCGAGTCGTAGACTAGACGTTAATCCAAACTATTTTCTTTCGCAAATTTGCCATAATTCTGGAGTTCTATAAACAATTCCCAACGCATCGATGCACTTGAACGCATGGTGTTTGATATTTGAGTACGTTTTCAATATCTGACAGAATTTGAAATAGACCACAACTTTTAGAGACACGTTCCATTTGAATAAAAGGATTGCTTTGCCTGACGTTGATTCGCAAAGAGTAAGAACACATATTTTAGGCCATCAAATGATTTCTTCTCCAACAGGTTTACGGCAAGTCGAGTGTATACACTGAAGTTTGGCTCACAAACGATTCCTGTTTACTGTCACATGGGAGACTTTGGATGCGGAGATGGAGGATGGACGCTGGCCATGAAGATTGACGGCACAAAGGTACATGTCTTACAAGCAGTACGTCATTCCATGTTTGTGATATGGATATTAATTTACTGATTTCCGTTTTCAGAAAACTTTTCATTATGATTCTCACTTCTGGAGCAACAAAAATCCATACAACTTTGCCGGAGGAAGGACCAGGTTTGATTCACAAGAGACCAAGTTGCCAACCTACTGGAACACAGCCTTCTCCAAGATCTGCCTGGGTATGAAGATCGGCCACCAATTACAGTTCGTTACTATCAACAAGTACGCTAGTTCGCTGTACTCTCTGATCGCTGACGGCCAATATCGCGCAACCTCACTCGGTCGTAACACCTGGAAGAAGCTGATTGGTCCACAGGCCTCCTTACAGACCGACTGTAACAAGGAAGGGTTTAATGCTATCTGTAGCTGGAAACAACATTCTAAAGCAAGAATTGGTATCACCAGTAACGAAAACGGCAACCATTGTGACACGTGTGACTCCAGAATCGGATTTGGTACAGGAGGAAATCATGACGACACAAACACGTGTGGAAATGAGGCTACATGGTCACCAGACAACGGAAACAAGCACATCAAGGCCATGGGCTACATCTTGGTTCAGTAGTAAAGAACCCGGAACTTTCCCCGGAGCATAAAAATTTTAGTTGTTTAGTTGCGTAAGCTTTCTCAGCTCGGAAGAAAGAAAACCCATAACGGGACATTACGTGCCAGTAACATGTCGGTTAATTTACGATGTAAAGATAGCCTTATTTTGCGAATAAAATGGGGAACAATTAAATGCAAGTTTGTTTTTTAAAATTCATGTGGATGAGAGATGAAGGATCGGATGATCAATATCAGAAAGCTCAGATGTTGAAAGCTATTCGGTGCTATCGAAATCTTCATTGCCCTGAATATGCGGTTATTTTCTTGTACTCTCTAGGGGGCTTTTACCCATTTTTCATAAAACCAAAACACAGCGGCTATTTCTGGTGGTCTTTCGGACACGACGAAGGAAAAACAAATACAGGTAAAAAATCGGATGAATATCAAAAGAGGGTTTATCGTCCGCCCTGAATATGCGGTTATTTTCTTTGACTGCCTGAATTTTTCATAAAACCAAAACAGACGGTGGCCTTTCGGAGAATGACGAAGGAAAAACAAATACAGGTTGTATTTTTGGGAATGACTCTTATTCTAACATAAACCGCCAAAACTTCTGTTCTCGTGTTCAATTTTTCCTTGCACTGACCTTAAACTAAACGCTTTTAAAAATACAGAGGGAAGAGAGATATCTTAATAAGCATTAACACGTGTCATTATGTGGCTGGCTTTGCGAGCAAGGAAGATCAAGCAAATCCTGGCCGCTCTGGATTCAGTTTCCGCTTTGTTGATCTTGGTCCATAAAAACTGACGCAAAACTGCTGACTTAGCCAATATCCAGCCATCTTGGGAGAAAAAACTTGATCAATAATGCATGTGCGTAGCTACAATCTGCTTCAAACTGCAGCATAAATCTACTAATGGCACACTTTAATTATCCTACGTCAGTTTTAACGGACACACCACTACAAACACTTACATGTCCAGTACCAGCTTGAAACTCTCTGACACGACTGTAGTCAAATGACATGCAAGCGGCTCGCTTAAACCTTGCACCTGAAGAACAATGTGTAACAGAACAACACTGATTCACGCTAATTTTCTACAAGTTTTCCAGTAACACCTAACTTTAGCCGCTATAGACGGATTATCGCGAACGGCCTCAACATGCTTGTGTGCCAGAGATTTTTATCGTACACCGCAAGAGCATCTTTGATGGTGCAACGATAGCTACAGCTGGAACATATTCCTTCGTTTTTCTAACATTGCCCAATAACGATTTCAAAGAAAACCTTCGCCGACGTTTGAAAAAGGAGTACCAAACATGAAACAGGGGCACCCAACGGCAATTTTCGGGAAAATATCTGTTCGGAAGAAGATTTGAGATCTAGAATTTTCGGAGCGTTTGTTGTAAAATTTGTTGCTTGCCTGCCTCTCCTAGGATTTTCGAACATCTACAAAATGGTATAATTACCCATTTTTAACGGATTTTGACCCTAAAAAAGGCCACCTAGAATTTTCGGGAGCCTTTTCCTGGCTGAAATTTTCGGGAAGGTAAGTTTTTATCCCTATAATTTTCGGATCACTAGACTTTCAGCTAGGAAATCCGAACAGATGAAAAGTTTCTAGGGGATAAAAATATGCCTATATCTACCGTTTGAATACTAAAATACGTTTAACAATGCTATGTTAAGTGGTTTTGAACTATATCCTCGTTGGGTGCCCCTGATGAAAACTGGAAGGTAACACGTAAAGTAGAAGGGAAGACCATACATATGGAAAGACACGTGGGAAAACACAGCTTAGAATAGAATAGGCTATGAACAATGTTTTAGGGCCTTGCACTAATTTACATAGGGATTAGGGCAGTTACTACTCATTGAACAATGGACTCGGATATCAGCAACGAGACTAACGGGAAAAATCTCATTCCCTTACTTTGAGCTTGACTTTGAAGTTACATACAGTCGACTCCCGACAACTCATACCCTCGCTAACTCGAAGCAAAATCAATTTCCCATGGATTTTTTTCATACATTTACTGTTATTTTACTTCGATAACTTGAACCTCCCGTTAACTCGCAATAATTTTTGTTTTCCTTCAGATCATTTCTATGTAATTTTACACTCGATAATTAGAAATGTTCTGCGGTCAGTGCTGAAATTTATTTCAACACAACCGTGTATTCTTTGTCTTTACTTCTTTGTCAATCCACTTCAAATACAATGTCCAGAGCCCTGATCATGAATATTCTTCAAGCTTTGTTGCTTCAATTCCTTTTTCAAAGTATCAATTTATCCCTTGCTGCCTTTGAGGTGAAGTGTGCATGATACTTGCATTCCTTCCCACCCATTTGTTTATTTCCTTATTTTCGGTTATCAGCTTTGAACTCCCGATAACTTGAACTTCTTTCGATTTTCCTAGAAGGTTCGAGTTATCGGGAGCTGACTGTTTATTATTTAACGATTAGTCGCCGAAGGCGACATGACTGTTCGCCGATATTCACGTCGCCTGAGGCGACTAATTGTTTTAGTATAATTACATTGATGATTCTTCGAGAAAATAAAATTATTGATCAATTTCTGACTCCGAAACATCAACAAATCTGGCTGCCATTTTGAAAACTGCTAACCTTCAATGTTATAATCACCGCGCGGTGATTATCGCGGGATAAAGCGAAGTTTCTAGCCAATCACAGCGCTCTATGTTCGATAATCATCAATGTAATTATACTAATAGGTGGTAATGGGAAGGGAGGGAATCTAATTTACTAATCATGTGGACAAGTACAGAGTATAGTATCCTCGATGAGCCGAACACTTGTGTTAAGCTGGAAGCTTTGCGACTCTAACAAAGTTTTTTTTACGCATAATTGAGTGGTATGACAGGATTTACCTGAGACAGATAAGGTACTGGTCCTTCACCAGAGGGTACTGTGCAGTTCCTTATGACAATGGTCTTGGATGGTGGACAGCCAACATTAATGTGCAGCACCTGTTTAAACAAAAGACAAAGGCAATGACTTCCTTATCATCCAGCACAGTTTAGGCCACAATGAATAGGGAACATTTTCTGTGATATTTAGCCTTCTTTAAGTTTAGCAACAAGTTTGTTCTCGCACACCAGCCGATTGTCTCTTTCACAGAAAAATTCAAAGGAGAGATATGCTCCTGCCCTTTAGAAAAGAGACTACTTTGGTCGGTTTTTTTTTTCTTAACTGTGTATGGCCACAAAAAGTACACTTAGTCTTCTTCTTCTTCTTAGCCGCAGTATTAATAATAACAACGATAGCAAGGCACAAGGTGAAGGAAAAAAAATTCCCGAGTAGGGTGAGTTAAAAGGAAATTGGCTGTTATTACCTGTAAATCATTTTCACAAGTCAGTTCTCTAACGCTCGGAAACATCGTCACAGACACTACAGTAGACTTGTATGCACTGTAAATTGAAACAACAAGCTTGATCAGAATTTTTGAGATGGATTTACTGACAGAAACACTCAAAACGTACAATAGCAAATTATTACACTTGACACTCCTTTCACCCATTTACCTTCTCCCCCCCCCCCCAACCCCCACCCATCCCCTCCTCCCCACTTGCCTTATCACTTCTCCCTGTAGGATTTGAAATTATTACTAGTATTAGCAATTAATATTGCCAGTTCAATTTCCTCAAGAAGTGTGAAAACATTAGCTTGCGATACAGTTATACTGGTGACCAAGTAGCTGACATTATGGCCTACAACTATGGACCCAAACAAAAACTGTTAATTAAAACAACACAACTATAAGAATCCCAACTGGCCGGAGGCAAACCACGGTACCGAGGTGCTGTATTTAGGACAACCGTTTTCATTTCAGCTGGATAGAGCGGGATCTTAACCCGGGCCGGTCGTCCACGCTGCCTCCTCCTTCTGATTGAGTGAGTGCTATTCTTTTAACACGCGCTCTTAAATTAGCTTCTTACCTTCCTGGATTGGCGGTTCCATTTCTTAAGTCATGGATGAAGGTGTAAGTCTAAATTTAAACGTAAACATCTTTGATCAACGAAGGCCATAATTAACAGTTTCATAGACCGCAAGCAGTCTCTTAAACCCAGTTAAAACGTCGAAGTTTTCATAGACCTAACCTTTTCCTTTTACTTAACTTAATGAAAAGATTGACGTATGAATCAATTAAGTCCGACATATCTAATTTGGGTCGACCCTCATGGGAATTTTGACTTTGGAGAGACTTCGTGTCAAACGTCGAACTTTTCATGTGCCGAACCTAAAGCATAAATTACTTATAATTTACTTTGACTGTTAAGAAATGTGGACCATTGAACATCGTGAAAATGAATGGAGTCCGACTAATTAACTTCGACGTCTGAATAAACCGTCGACCTCGCGTCATTTGAGACGACCAAAATAGGTTTTAAGTTCGGTACATGAAAGTCTGAAGTTTGAACTGGGACTTATTGTTCTATCCTGAGTTCGACTGAAGGGGTACGTGTAACCACAAGAAGAGAGAGGTGAATGCTAGTCCGCGTGGCAGGTGCCCGAAGGAGGACTTCGGGCTCGCGCCCCGGTGGGGGGGGGGGGGTACTTTAGGACTTTTTGGGTGGAGATGTGCCGCTGGGACCCTGGAACCCTTAGCCTATACGAGGGCTAGTTCAAGTGAATTTTGCTACCCTATACTAGACTTAACTCCCCAAATCCCCCCCTATCCTAGAGTAGCTGTTTTCCAGAAACAACTGAGGTCACTAGCACAGTCCAGCCAAAACAAAATCCATTTGATTTTTCTATATTCTTGGGTGGCAATTCCCGGTTTCCCTAGTCTAGACTAAAATCTTCAACCAATTGATCAGTTTAAATGGAAAATGATACCCTGTTCTAGACCCAAACTCTGTGATTTATGTGCCCTATCCCTGAGTAAACTGCTTGAAAACCATACCCTTCACAGCGGCACATACCTATATAGCCCATATATGGTAGTAGGGGCTCGCGTGGGCTAGCGCATGTCCTTCGCGTTTTCGCGCACCTGAATTCCATTTGTGAACGTCGTCGAGGCAAGCTAGGCTCAGTGTAGGCTGGTGGTGAAGCCGCAAGACGCGAGGAAAAAGGAGGAGCTACAACATTGAAGAACTCTCCAAATATGGAGGCAAAGTTGTCTGAAAGGGGTTCAAAAACGTCTGGACATCAGTAAAAATACCTTGTTAAGTGTAACAATACCAGGATAATGTTCTATGATGTCTTCAGTTTCGATTCGTAGAACATCGCTACTTGAAATTTCAAGCTGCAACATAAAGCAGTGTTAATCACGACAATGGCGCTTTGAAAAGCCGGGAGGGAAGGGGGTTACTCAACATTGTTTTATACGGGGAGGCTCCACCAATTATCAGGTAACAGGTTTGGACACTGACTTCTTCGATTTAGATATCAAGGGCGCAATGACGCGATTAAAAAGGGGGGATTAGGGACTGATAAAAGTCTGTTACGTCGAAACACTGACTTACTCTGATGTCATTTGGTGTGACCCTTGGGTGAATCAGAAGGGCCCATACCTGAAAACAGAACCAACGATAACAGAGTCAGACAAGGCAACTGAAAGCAAATTAAGGCTGTCTAGCTGACAGAGACCGTTCATTTTTTTTCCTCAGGACAATGGTAAAATAAAAGAAAGGCGTGACCAATATGTTTCTTACCAATTATCCTTGTTTAGTTGAAAGAAAACACAACGAAATTATACTACGGGAAAGGGAATTACTAAAAAATACAAATTGGCGAGTGTTGTATAAAGTTTGCTGTAAAAGCATGTTTCAAGCAGAATACGGCCTTAAGCGGCCACTAGCCCTTCCACGAGGGCTAGGCAGACAGGTTCCATTTACAATGATTGACTGGCAATTTCGACCGTCACGACTTTCGACTGTGTTTAAAAGTATTTGCCTTATAAAAAGCTGCAAAATGTCCACACCATTAATTCATAAAAAAAAAACATTTGAAATACAACACGTATCAGTATTATGTATCGCTAATCTCTTCGCAACCCCACTATAAAAAGGAATCCGTTTATCTATTCCACTTCGTCCATAATTACTCCCAAAAACTCTCTTGCACTAAGTAGGGGTTGAAAATTCACATGTTGCTAGGTTTTATCATCGCATTGCATGTGGACTTCAGAGCAAACCTTCAGTTCATTTCCTTTGTCGATGAAGTGCAATTCTGGTCTGGCGCTGGTCGTAAACTTTAGAAACTGCAAGACAAATTTTGAGACAGATAAATGGAAGTTGTAATCTATTGGGAAACCCCACTATCATTTTCGGCGTCGGTTCTATTTCGGATATAAGCCCCTCCGTTAATAAGCCCTCCTAAATGGCCCTACGAAGATGTATAAGCCCAAGGTTTATAAGCGGCAGTTGAAGGTATTGTTACGATCGTCTGCATAACAGCTGAATGCTGCTTAAATGGAAATCATATATCAGTAATGGTAAAAAAAAACATGAAGAATGTCTTCTTATTGCTAGTAAAAAACAACATTAGAAGCGTCCGCACTAACGTCGGTTAGCTCAAGCGAATCTTTGTTCACATTTTTTGCTTCATTAACAAATGTTCATCATTATCTGCTGAAGCTTATAAAATACAAATCTGAATATTGAAAGGGCATAACAATTTCAGTTATGCGCGATATACCGAATGGCTTACGAGAAATTTTTCTTTAAACACTCGAAATTTTACGATGAAAGTATTGCTCATTAACTTTTTTGCCACCCAGCAATTTCGCAGTTTTTGATGGCTGATATTTCCTTCAATATTGTTTGCAATTTTTGAATTTCGTTCGTATATATGGCCACCACTTCTACGAGTTAAGTCGTATGCTAATGAGGGCAAATGTAAACAATGGCGTCAGCATGAAGATTCGCCTATAAATACCCACATGGCTTAAGGTGGCTCGACTGGATTTTTTGGGGTTGATACCTCCCAACTTTGAGCATTAACTACGTCGGGATGAGTAAAGATATGGAAAAAAGGTTTCCACAACTGTATTTTATAAGATGAAAATTTCTTATGATCTGGGTTTCATTGCAATCGGAGTCGCCATGGCAACGTTATGACGCCATTACGTTTTTCATTTATCTTTGTGTTTCTCTCTTCCAGGAGTTTTTTGAAGAAATCGTTTAAGGGAGTATGTACCTGCTATAACTGCCTCCATTATGGCAAAGTTTGAACAAATTCTATGAGAGCGTTTTCGAAATATTTTGAAATGTAGTTTTAAGAATAATAAAAACAGTGAAATAGCATGCTAGCCACACAATTCGCTGATATTTTAAGAAAATGATAAGCTTTGGGAACGAAGCTTCATCTCATAGTGGTTTGATTCCCTTCTTTTTTCGTATGCAGTTTTCAATGGAATCAAACCACTATGAGATGAAGCCTCGTTCCCAAAGCTTATCATTTTCTTAAAATCAGTCAGCGAATTGTGTGGCTAGCATGCTATTTCACTGTTTTTATTATTCTTAAAACTACATTTCAAAATATTTCGAAAACGCTCTCATAGAATTTGTTCAAACTTTGCCATAATGGAGGCAATTATAGCAGGTACATACTCCCTTAAGCGATTTCTTCAAAAAACTCCTGGAACAGAGAAACACAAAGATAAATGAAAAACGAAATAGCGTCATAACGTTGCCATGGCGACTCCGATTGCAATAAAACCCAAATCATAAAAAATTTTCATCTTTATAAAATACAGTTGTGGTAACCTTCTTTCTATATCTTTACTCATGCCGACGAAGTTAATGCTCAAAGTTGGGAGGTATCAACCCCAAAAAATCCAGTCGAGCCACCTTAATAAGCTACAACAAGAGTCGTAAACAATACTCTTGGTGAACTATCTGATAAGACCGCACAGCACAACCAATTTTCATTTCCATACAGCCGTGACTGCAACTATAGGCCATTTTCGAGTTGCTCGAAGCCTCTGTTTCAAGGCGAGGCTGAATTTGAAGCTATTCCTAAGAATAGGATTTTTTTAATCCCACAAAAATAAAACTCATTTTCACAAGAAAGGCGTTTTATTTAGCCTCGTCTTGAAAGTGACAGTTTCTCAGAAATGGCTTATTATACAAAAAAAAATACGCAGACGACTCCTAACCGGACATGATGTATGTGGGTAGAGACCATTCAAGATTTCATTCCCCAAAGGTAGCTTTCTTGTGTAAACTGTTCCACTGAAATGATAAAGAACAACAGAGCAATGTTACCATGAGATGTATTTTAATGTAATTAATGCTTCCCGTCGCGGGATTCACGGTTGATCTTCCCGTTGATCAAATTTGCTAAAGCCTCCACAAACAAAACATGTTGCTCTTTCGGTTCTTCACAAAATCTCGTTGCGGTTTGTCCCCCATTCCTGAAGAAACTTTAATCAACAGTCATGGTAATTTGTGGCAACAATACCACTGGTAAGGACTAAAAGTAGTTCATGTTTGTCAATGTAAGAGTTCAAATAGCCTCGCTGTGGGAACTGTGAGTATGTAAAGATCCCGACCAATACTCTCCATTGTTATAACCAGGTTCACATTATTGGGGGAGGGAGAGGGGGGGGGGGGTTATCTTGATACAATCCAAATTCCATCCAGTCCTATCTTTCCTCTATGATAACATTTCTCTTGGATCCTGACGGTAGGCATGCAGTCTGATTTCTGGCAGATTCTTCTGTTCTTAAAGCCTCGATAATTCAGTTTCACTCCTCGCACACGACGTCTAAATCAAATTTTTCTCGAATGGTGTTCATGGTCAAAGCAAACATTGTACTATTGGAGAGTGGGCAGTGACAACGTACTTGTTATTGGTGATAACCAGTAAGGAGCCAAAAACATCAAACATAACTGCCATCGTTGAAGAGGGATCTTCTCCAGCAAATACCTGCGCCAATTGAATAATAATAATAATCATAATACAGTCGACTCTCTCTTAACGGACACCTCTATAAGACGGACACCTCTGCAAAACGGTCACTCAGAGTTGGTCCCTGCCTTTCTTTACTCCCTTTATTTGACTCTTTACAAGACGGACACTTAGTGCCGCTCCCAAAGGTGTCCGTCTTAGAGAGAGTTGACTGTAGTAATAACAATTCCATTATTTATCTTCGGCAGTATTTATAGCACTAACGCTTGTGGGGCTGAGCAGATGTCTGAAACAAATAATTCAAATTGATAAGAATCCCAAATATACTAGCCGGAGGCAAACCAGCTGGCTATTAACAAGGATGACCGAGGATTGAACACGAGACTCCCGTGAACAAATCCAGCTCGCGAACTCGGGGCCTCCGAGTTGCAGTCCGGCGCTCTAACCACTCGGGCATGCTGCCTCCTGAGAGATGAAGGGAGAAGAAAGAACACTTGTTCACAATAAATACTGGGAAAAGGCTGAAAATCACTTATTCTAAGAAGGAGAAAAGGAGAAAGACTACCTTAATGTTATACAATATCTTAACTTTAGGGCTACGAGTTGAGTTATCATCGCTAAGGTCCAGTTTTCTAGCTCGCTTCGAAAAAACATCAACGGGCCTCGGGATTTTCTGTTTGATAGTTATCAATTTTACCAGATTTACCTCAACCATATGTTGAATGAACGCTTTTCCATAAAATATCCTGTTGTTCGACAGATGAACAGCGAACTCACCATTTCCTCCTGAGAGTCATAATAAAGAAGTTGTGATAAATGAGCGATCATACAAGCCAGGGAGAAGTCAGTTGCTTCAAAATTAACCAAAGTGGAACCACTCGATTCGGACATTTTTATTAAACTGACTCCAATCTATTATGAAAATTTGGTTTTGTCAACTGAGTTGGTTACTGAAGGATCAATTCAACACCGTAAAAAATATGAAGCTGATGTTGCCCAAGTTAGCCCTTCGCCAGAGCGAATCAAGGAATCGTGTGTTATTATTCATTCAAAATATTTCTCCATTTCTGACTGGCTCAAATCCGTTGACCAGACTTGCAAGACGTCTGCGATATTCGGTAAAATGAATTCAACGCGCGGGATAACGACACAGCAAACCTAGAGGCTCTGAAGATGAGGTTGCGTTAGCTCAGCTGTTTCCATCTGTTTTGCTAACGCAAGAGAAAATGGCGTAAAATTTCACACGTTTTGCAAAGAAGTAGCCCAACTGATGTCTAAGAGGGGCGATCTGCATTTATTTGAAAGATTGTTTGTGATTGGCTGGGAAAAACAACAGGGATTGTGACATAACAATGCCCTTATCCCTGAAAACAATAGGTAGTGCAGGTTATAGGGACCAATGAAATAAGAGGTCTAGAACGGTGCAGGTCAATCGGGGGGAGGGGGTGGGGGGTCTGAGACCACGGCAAGAACAGAAAAAATACAACTCGACGGATGAAAACTGCTGTATGAAAGCATAGTTATTAGAGGAGACTGGTTATGAAAAGCGGCAAACATCAATGATAAGAACAACATTGCTGCAGTTTATGTTGGAAGTACCGTGAAAGTGCACAATCCTTTGTTTTCTGTTGGCAAATTGTTACGGAATAAATTAATGCAACGTTTTTATTGGTCGATACAATCAAAATGATAGGAATTCTTTTGAACGTTGTGCACTTTCAGGTCCACAAAAACATATAACAAAGGAGTCTGACGGGTTTCATAACCATTCCACTCAATTAACTATGATGAAAGGTAAAAAAGGTACTGTTGTAAAGCAACAATATTTTACGTCGATAACTCGTGACAGCAGTAACTTATAAACTTGAGGTAGTTCGACAGTGCGCTCATCTTAGCCCCCCCCCCCCCCCCTCCATCTCTACCAATGCTCCGATTTAGGGGTATTTAAGGGCCTGTTTACAGGGAGGTGGGGGACCCCAGGTAGGTGAGGTAACCTGCCTGTCCATATAATCTCTCATTTTAATTTGATCACGGTTACATGACCCGAGGGAGTGACCCGCCACGTGTTACCTCACCTATCTGGGGTCCCCCACCTCCATGTAAACAGGCCCTAAAGCTAGTCAAAGCTACACAGAAGTTGAAAAAAGGATGCGATATCACCGGGGATCGAACTCGGGACCTCGGCCACCGAAGGCAGTGCATTAAACAACAGTACCACTCTTGGTTATTAAAGAATGAGAGTGTGCATGCGTGACCGGCTGTAAGAACCTGCGAGTTTTTGGCCGCTCAAGTCGACATTCTGGTAGGACATTGGCCGTTGAACGGCCGTTATTTTGATCCCTGTGAAATCACAAAAAATTATCTCACCTGGTATTACAGACTTCATAGTTTCATTGTTACCAAGCGTGAAATCGGTGAGATTTCCGTGGCCTTTCACCGTGAGAAAGATGCCTGCAAATGATAAAAAAATTCTTTCCCCTGCGTACGTCAATAAAGTTTTAATAGGAAGCTTTATAATTAGCAACGACGACGGCGACGGCGAAAGCACCGAGAAAGGCAAAAAAGCAGTAATTTTAGATTAGCAAAACAACAATTCTGCACGTGCATCCCGCGTTTTTGCACATCTCTTTGCCGTCAGCACGTAAAAGTGTCTAAATTCACGCTTTAGGAGACGTGAACACAAGACAACAATTTTCTGTTTCTTTCCTTGAACTTCGATACAGTTTCATAGAATTCAACTCTCGAAGAATTTGCCAAATTTTGATAAATTGAACGAGATGGAATAACGCGATGAGGTTTCAGAAACAGGGCGAATTAACTTTTAAGAGACGTTTTCTCAGCCGTCGCCTTCCTTGTTGCTATGTTAAATCCTACCATTTATCAAATATTTTTCTTACTTATATACCTGTTTCGTCCAGTCTTCCAAATGCTATCGTTTTCTGGCTCCAAACAACCACAAACTGACTGCTCGGTGGAGCAAAAGTGAAAGAAACAGGCGGCCCTGTTGAAAAAGCGGGCACAAACAAGACTGGAGTCAAGATACGGTAAAACGGTAAAACAAGTTGAAAAACGACGTTGCGCGTTTTACCACCCATGTTCCAACCCGTCTTGCAACAAATCAAGTTTTTGCAGAAAGTAGAGAGTAGTCTTACTTTTTGCAACAAAATCTGACATGTTAATGATATATGAAATAAATCATATATGAACTGCGGAAATGAAAATGAAGAAATGATCGTCGCAGTGAACGCAATTATGCAATTGCGTAAAGAAGCCTGAAAAAAAAAACCCGTTGAAGTCCTGAATTTTTTTCAGGCTTCTTTACACAATTGCATAAATTGCGTTCACTACGACGATCATTTCTGCATTTTCAAAATCTGACAAGTTGCGCGTTTTACCGGCCCAAGGCAAACTTGTTTTGCAGCAAGCGACGTAACTCCCACATAATTTTATCCAATCAGAAGTCAGTGTTAACGCAACCTGTCTCAACCTGATTCGTTGCAAGACAGGTTTGAACGAGGGTGGTACAACGTGAACGTCGCAATTCAACTCATTTTGCAGCAATGTTTCGAAGCAAGTTGCACGGTTAGTTGGCCATTTTACTGTAACTTTAGACCTATAACCATTTCCATTTTCAAATGAAGCACTGTTGCCACAAACGGCCAGATCCTGGCCTGGAGAATTGCTCCTTTCGTATGGGTGGACTCCCGCAATCTCACTATCGGCAAAGGCCACACGCCGAACTATTAACGAGACAAACCAAAATCTAATTTGGGTCGACCTAAATTTAGTTACGATCGTTTGTTGTGTCTGACGCCGAACCTAGGACGCGTCGAACCAATCAACTAAATCAGACCAAAAAGCAACTTTAGCTGGTCAGTAATTAACATTATTATACAATTCTTTTTTAATTTATTAGTTAAGTTCGTCGAATATGAAGATCGACGTTTGTCCTGGGGACGATCTTCACATGTTCAGACGGATAGAACGTGTTGGACGTTCCAACCTCATTCAGACGAACTTAACTGAGTAAGGCGTTGAACTTTTCATGAACTTAACTCATGAAAAGTTCGACGTTTGGCCTAGGCCTATGACTTGTTTTGAAAACTGATCGAGAGACATTGCACAGCATAGTTGCGTCGGTAATAAGATGGTAGGATGTGATTTTCTGGGCGGGTGCTGTTCTGAATAGCACAGACCTTTAGATACTAAGACAGGGACGACTACAAGAACGAGAGTTTCCCAATACTAAGTGCTAGCGCGTGACCCAGCGTCATTTTGCCTGGAAAACGTGAAAGCCGTCGACATTCTTACCGGGTAGCTGTACGAAGGGCTTAAGCGAAAATGTCATAGTCAGGGGCGGAAACTAGTTATTAAATGTTAGAAGTTTTATCATTCGGCGATCGGGAGAGGGCTCAGTATCCTTACAATAATAATAATAACAACAACCGTGTTGTATGTTCTGGTAAAAAAAGTAAAAAAAGCTTTCCGAGGTGTCTATTTGCTACGAATAGGCTGAAAAGCTCTTTGTAGCTAGTCATTGTAGCTAGCCATGCAGGAGGAGAGTGAGGGAAGTAGTATAGAGTGCACTGAATTAACCACTTTTTAAAAATAAATCTTATTACTATCTAGTGAAATACATTAGCACCAATGGCGTCATAGCACAGACGTCATGTGGTAGAATCCCATTAAAATAAGATGATGTGCTATGTTTAAGTGATGGTAACGGTTTGACAGGTTTTAGATAGATGACGTCATAGCCACTGTCTTTAATTCATGAATAAAATGCGGTGACATTTCATTAAGATAAGATGATGCGATTTCTTAGTCATCAGTATTTTAAAATGTATTCCACCTCAAACTAATGTGATTCCAATTCTTTCCGGGGTTCTTTCCGTGCGCCCTATACTACTAAGGGACATGCTGGGACAAGACAGACAAAAGACTTACATCATTTCAAATGGGTATTTCCTTTGTTTGTCTTGTCCCAGTGCGGCTCTTGCGCTCGAGCAGGGCGAATTTATGCCACGTGAATTTCTCGCTTCAAAGGGCCCACTAAGTCGAGATGTTTTTGACTTCACTCAAAGTAAGGTCTGAGGAGAAGATACTGCAGAGAATAGGCTTGTTACCACCATTCAGCGAAGCACTAAGGTGCGAGATTAAAAGACTTTGTATTGGAAAAGAGCTGCCTTCATTTTTGTTTTTGGCCAGTTATGGGGCTTAAAACCAGGAACAGCTCTGATATCATGTCATGATTCCTTCCACAAAGAAAAGAATTAGTTAACAAAGTAACTTGGAAGCATCCATCACATAAACCGATCTTGTGTAAAGAAATATTTGGTTTTGAAATGTAAATGATGAATATATGAATTTCATTTATGTAACCGCCCAAAGAAGAAATAAATGAAAAGAGGACCATCACAGTGAAATACGCAATAATACAGTTGAGAGAAGAAAAGCCTGAATAAAAGAATGTATTGAATTCGTAGAAAAAATGGACGACGGCAGGTATCGAACCTTTGCTTAGAATGTTACGCATTAACACCGTGTGCTACGAGGACAATGGCAATTATGGTTATAGCACTGCATCGGTATCGCAGAGCTCAGGGTTCGAATTCTGGCAAGCCTAAACAGCTTCTTCAGGCTTTCCTTTCGTAGCTGCATAAGTTGCGTATTTCACTGCGATGATCTTCACTTGACTTCGACATTGATTCTACTGCTGCCCAATTAAAACAAGCCATATGACCTGAATATTTTGTCGCTCACTTACCATGAATAAAACCAGACAGTTGAAACCCCTTTTCCTCCCATGTATCATCTAAAAAAGAATACTGAACAAACAACATCTGCAAGAAAAGAAAAGTAACAAATATTAAATTAAGTACTTCATAAGTATAAACACGTTTCGAGGAGTTTAAAGGACCTCTTTCTCAGACTCTTGTCATCTTTTCAGGCATGAGAAGCTATTTTTTGCCTTTAATGCTTATGTTAACTCTTTTACTACCGGAGTACCGTAACTAAGGAGGTTCATTCCCTTAATTCTTATGATCTGTTATTGCTGGTTCACGTATTCACACAGTAAGAAAATGCTAATGTATGGCTCTCTGGAAGCTTCAGCGACCAGTAAATATCGCTGTCTTGTCATTTTGGAAGTGTTTCAGGGTCCCCTAAAACTAACATTTTCCAGGGAATGGCCTAATGGAAAAGAGGCGTATCCCATCTCCTACAAAAAAGCAAAAAGGCGCTCGTCTTTAGGTCTAACCCATTGCAACCTACTTACTTTTTTCCTCCATCTACTTCTAAAGTTGGTGGAGAACCCTGCACTATTCAGATGTCAAACCACAATGCAGCTGTACTGATTATCTTTACCTTATGTTGGTTACTGTAGGTTGTTGCATTGACAAGAAAGGTTACAATCGGAAACAAGCAATGTATTTCAACATGTGCTACCTAATTGAGAGGAGAAATAACCAAGTTACCGTAAAATTCCGAAAATAAACCCCTCCATCTATAAGCCCCTCCAAATATAAGCCCCCCAAAATCGTAACGCAAAAAACCCTCCGTTAAATCGCCCCTCCGAATATAAGCCCCCGGGGGACTTGTACTTGGAATTTGCCCTCGAATGCAAAGTAAAACAAAGCAAAAATGGTAAATTTCCTTTCCACTACAAGCTAGCCTAACCGATACATAAGCCCCTCCGAATATAGGCCCCTCCAAAAATAAGCCCCTCAAAAAGGGCATTTGAAAAATATAAGCCCCGGGGCTTATTTTCGGAATTTTACCGTATGTTCTGAGAGACTATGAACTCTATAAGTAATGAACTAAAGAAAGAAGTAAGTGATGTAGGGTACCATCCATCCTTGATGTAGGGTACTTGTCCAAACAGTTTCACGTTTAGCCTCAACATAAAATACAATGCTAAGGTAAAAACAAAAACGATTTTCTTTTATAACCTTTGCATTTCCCTGCAATTTGCTGATTTTTTTTCCTAGTGTGAAATTCTGCGTGGTGTGAAGTGCAGTTTAAGTAAACAATATTCTTCGCAGAGATCCTAAGAAAAAACCAGTTGCTGGTTTTTCATCAAATGGTGAAAACTGTTTAATGTACTGCAATTCAAATTTGGAAAATAACGCCAAATAAGTAAGGTGAATCTGAAGCTTTCCTGAACGAATTACCAGATGAATATTTTTCTCAAGAAACGCAAGTTAAAAATGCAAAAAGATTAAAACTGGTTACATACAGATTTGACAGTGACACCCAGGCCTTGGATTGGAAGATACTGGAATGATAATCCACTGTCTTTTGAGATGTAAATAACAAAGTCAGCACTCTGTAAGTAAGAATAACAAGATAAATAAATGGGAAAAGAGAAAGAGAAGTGAAAAAAGAAACAAATGGGATGCTTTAATCCTGCATAGCAAGCGTCTCTAACTGAGTTATTGGGCGAACAGAAGTTTGAGAACTAGATTGGCAGAGATCGTCCCTGAGATGTGGTTGAAGACGAGGTATACAATACGATAAGCAGTAAGAGGGAGAGATAATACCTCATTTGTCCACCCTAAAACAACACCAGTCATAATCTGTAAAATAAGAGAAAACTAATCACCAATTTGCTTGTTACTTCTACACTTAAAAACAACAAGAATTGTGTTACCACGTTCTTTGAATCTTCCAAGCATTTTTTCTGTGATGCCACTCCGTTGAGGCCCCGCTGAGGTAAACCTGCGTAGAGATAAAATAGTAAAAGTAATTACCTTGCATGGCAATATAAATGTATTTACCCAGTGCTAGACTGATGATACCAAGCAATGGTCACACTAACAGGATTTTGTTTAAAAACTCAGTATTCAGAACCAGTGTTTATACAGCTAATTGATAGTACCAAGTGAAAGTATATAACCATACTGCCGATGAGATTTCATTTGAATGGTCACACTACAGGATTTCATCCATGCACTCGAAACTCAGAACTTGTTTGTAAAGTATAATAAAACGCACAGTGTGAGACTGACTACTTTAAAGGTTTTATTTGAACGGCAATACCAGGGGATTTCATCCATAGACTCAAAAGTTAAAGTTGAAGGGGGAAAAACTGTCTTCTAGTGAGGAGACTCTCTATGGGTACCTGAGGACGTCATTTTTGTTGCACGTTTTCAATCATATTGTCGCATTTCAAGAATTGTTTTTTAAGATAATGCTATAAGTGAGCTTGAGCTGCCATGACATTGATGATCGATGGAAAAAAGAAAATAATAATATAAAAAACAAGAGCTTTTATAAGGAAAACGAAAAGACTGAACGTGCAGCACACGTTTTGCAGATTTCTTTGTCTTCATTGTGCAACTAATGTATTGTCAAAGTTGATCGCAATGACAATGTGATCGTAACTTTAATCTCTAAGATAGTCAATTGTTTCATCAACAGCAATCGTTACAAATTTTATTTCTTAGGATAGTCTCAATAAGCCTACAAGCACCAGTTAACAGAACTCACCAGATGGATTTCCCCAAGTTTGTGTTGTTCCATTAAACACAAAGACCCTGCCTGATTCCAAGAGGACAACAAGGTTTGATGCAGAAAATACCACAGACTTCACAAATCCTTCAGATTGCTAAGGAAGAAAAGGTTGCAAAAATGTTTTGTTAACAGTTTAAGATATCAGGCAGGATTGTAGTAGCTTGGGGAAGTAAAAGAGTAAACTAGTAATATGAACTTTAGTCACTGTACTGTGTTTCTATTAGGGTAGCTGAGGCTTATGCTTCTAAGAACCAAGCAAAGATTGTTCAAAAGCTGGATAGCGCTATCCACCGGATAAATCCCTGTCCGGTGGATACATATTACGGGAAACAATTGCTTTATTCGCTGGATAGCGATTTATCCGCTGGATAGCGCTATCCAACATTTGAACAACCGGGGCCAGGCCCCAGTAGTTTAAAAGGTGGATAACACTATCCACTGCATGGATAAATCTCTATCCACTGGATAGCGCAATTGGTTTCCCTTATACTTATCCTCTGGATGGTGATTTATCCGTTGAGTAGCACTATCCAACATTTGAACAAACTGGGGCCAGGCCCCAAGTTGGGTGGATAACACTATCCACTGCATGGATAAATCTCTTTCCAATGGATAGCGCAATTGGTTTCCCTTATACTTACCCACTGGATAGTGATTTATCCGTTGAGGAGCACTATCCAACATTTGAACAAACTGGGGCCAGGCCCCAGTAGTTGAAAAGGTGGATAACACTATCCACTGCATGGATAAATCTCTTTCCAATGGATAGCGCAATTGGTTTCCCTTATACTTACCCACTGGATAGTGATTTATCCGTTGAGGAGCACTATCCAACATTTGAACAAACTGGGGCCAGGCCCCAGTAGTTGAAAAGGTGGATAACACTATCCACTGCATGGATAAATCTCTTTCCAATGGATAGCGCAATTGGTTTCCCTTATACAATGGTGATTTATCCGTTGAGTAGCACTATCCAACATTTGAACAAACTGGGGCCAGGCCCCAGTAGTTGAAAAGGTGGATAACACTATCCACTGCATGGATAAATCTCTATCCAATGGATAGCAGATTATTGGTTTCCCTTATACTTATCCTCTGGATGGTGATTTATCCGTTGAGTAGCACTATCCAACATTTGAACAAACTGGGGCCAGGTCCCAGTAGTTTAAAAGGTGGATAACACTATCCACTGCATGGATAAATCTCTATCCACTGGATAGCGCAATTGGTTTCCCTTATACTTATCCTCTGGATGGTGATTTATCCGTTGAGTAGCACTATCCAACATTTGAACAAACTGGGGCCAGGCCCCAGTAGTTGAAAAGGTGGATAACACTATCCACTGCATGGATAAATCTCTTTCCAATGGATAGCGCAATTGGTTTCCCTTATACTTACCCACTGGATAGTGATTTATCCATTGAGTAGCACTATCCAACATTTGAACAAACTGGGGCCAGGCCCCAGTAGTTGAAAAGGTGGATAACACTATCCACTGCATGGATAAATCTCTTTCCACTGGATTAAGCGCAATTGGTTTCCCTAATACTTATCCGTAGGATAGTGATTTATCCAGTGGATAGCACTATCCAATGTTTGAACAAACTGGGGCCAGGTCCCAGTAGTTTAAAAGGTGGATAACACTATCCACTGCATGGATAAATCTCTATCCACTGGATAGCGCAATTGGTTTCCCTTATACTTATCCTCTGGATGGTGATTTATCCGTTGAGTAGCACTATCCAACATTTGAACAAACTGGGGCCAGGTCCCAGTAGTTTAAAAGGTGGATAACACTATCCACTGCATGGATAAATCTCTATCCACTGGATAGCGCAATTGGTTTCCCTTATACTTATCCTCTGGATGGTGATTTATCCGTTGAGTAGCACTATCCAACATTTGAACAAACTGGGGCCAGGTCCCAGTAGTTTAAAAGGTGGATAACACTATCCACTGCATGGATAAATCTCTATCCACTGGATAGCGCAATTGGTTTCCTTATACTTATCCTCTGGATGGTGATTTATCCATTGAGTTTATCCAACATTTGAACAAACTTAGTTGAAAAGTGGATAACACTATCCACTGCACTATCCAAACATTTGAACAAACTGGATAGTGATTTATCCGTTGGCCCCAACATTTGAACAAACTGGGGCCAGGCCCCAGTTTGAAAAAGGTGGATAACACTATCCACTGCATGGATAAATCTCTTTCCAATGGATACTTACCCACTGGATTGATTTATCCATTGAGTTTCCAACATTTGAACAAACTACCCCAGTTTGAAAAAGGTCACCTGGATAAATCTCTTTCCACTGGATGGTTTTTCCCTAATCCCGTAGGATGGATCCAGTGGATAGCGCTATCCAATGTTTGAACAACTGGGCCCAGGAAAATATTTCAGAGTGTTTCATTTACAGGTGTGTGGGTGTGACTAAAGGTTCTGCAACTTGAACCCCGTGAATCCTGATCCTAACACCTTTAGGGTGCATTCCATTGAATGATCTTGTATCAGATGGTACATTAAAAAAACTGGCATGATGAATCCACCCTACCTTGGCAAAAGATTCATTGGCTCATTTGATGTAAAATGATCTGGGTGATCTTAGATCACTGATCCTGATCCAGATCATCCCAATGGAAAGCACCCTTAAATGTACCAGCACCTGCACATTCAACTCTGGGAGGGAGGGTGGGGAATTCTATTCCCCAGACCTACAAGTCAGCTAGATGATATCTCTAAGTTAATGTCATGTAATTTCAGCAATATGGAGTTCAAACATTATACAGATTGACAACCTTTTATAAAGTAAATTTAATCAATTCAGATCTTTTATAAATGCTTACCATAAGCAAGTTTGAGGACATTTTCAGCTGTTGAGCACTTTCAAAATTGTCTTGAGTTAACACACAGATTGAGCTAAAAAGAACATTGAAATTTACTTGGCAAAAAGTATGTACAAGATCATATTGTTAATAATCAAAGTTCTGAAAGAGGCTATAAATATTAATTTTGCGGTACTTTAATTAGTTTAATGTAAAACAAAATCAACAGCATAGCACAGTTTTTCAAAACTCACTTTTTGTTTTTATGCTTCAACATATAGTACAAGCCTTTCATTTACCTTAAAATTTGGGATCATCCTTTGATATGTTTAGTTGTGAGGTACCCCGGCCTCAACTAGCATAAACACATTATCTTATACCAATATATTTGATTAACCATGTACCATGCTAGACATCAATGAAAAGCAGCATAATAGCTACCTTATGAGAACTGCAACATGGGAAGCACAAGGATCCTATCAGAGAAAGGCAATTTTGCAAGTCAAATTTGCACCAGAAACTCAACAGTAAATGCAATAAAAATTAAGGAAATGCAACCATATTTTGTCAATTAAACTCGTGACAGTAATTCAACTGATAAACTTTGGATCAGTGATGTGCTCATTTTACCCCTCTCTCCATCAATGCTCCATTTTATGGGTATTTAAAAGCTAGTTAAAGCTACACAGAATGGAGAGAAATTGAAACAAGGATGTGATGTCACTGGGGATCTAAATTGGGACCTCTCCCACCAAAGGCCACACACTAACTGCTATGCTTGCTCCTTGGTCCAAGTTGGGTACATATGATTCAGTCAAACTTGTAGACAACAAAGGTCAGTGGCTCGGCTTAATTTGTTCATCTCTTCAAAATGTTTGTTAAAAATCATTAAGTCAAACAGAAATTGCTGACATCTTGGTATTATATTCCATGAAAGAAGACAACGTTGAAAATGACAGCTGTTAACAGGGTTACCTGTTACAAAAGGCATTGTATTTTATGTCAAAAAATATTCCATTTTAAGGAAACTAAATCAATAATTTAATTCTTATACCTGAAAAATTGCACTCCGTTTTGGATAAGTACCTTTCAACACCACCTGAAAAATAAGTGTTGTGATAACAGCTTTTACTTACACTAAAAGGATAATCTCATTGGCATAATTTAGGGCTGCATGTTCCTTGCACAACATTTTAATATCCTTGATATGCAATCTCTTTTTGGGTTAACTGATGCCTACCATTAATACATTTATGCTCAACCACATTATGGCTTAGCAGGGTACACAGCCCTTAACCCATTTGCTCTGGGGTTTTTGCTGGAAGGTTCAGGGAAGAATGGGTTAATGACAGAGTCATGAGTATTATAATTTAACCCTTTAAGTCCCAAGAATGACCAAAGTCAGTTTTCTCCAAACAAAATCAATACATAATCAAAGGAAAATGTTGTGAGAATCAATAAAATAATCACCTGATGGAAAAAGCTTTGATCTGCTATCAAATTCTCTAAACTAATTCTTGCAGGAAATGTATGGAGATCAGTCTGGAGAGTTTGTATTGGGATACTGGGGCTTAAAGGGTTAAATTCATGAGTTAAGTGGAATATAATATGAAAGGCACAAAAACATCTTCCTGGCCCACTCATTTCCTGTTTGAAGGGATGTTCAAGAGAATGTAACGAAGTTCTAGTATAAAAGGACGCAACATCAAACCTCAGTCAGCTAACACAACAAAATAGAGTAAATAAAATACTTTAGCAGGGTTTTTAACACAGTATCTGTACCTGCTCTGGTTGATTGGTAAACAAGTAAGGAAACTTTATTTTCAATAAGTGAAATGAGCTTTTCCTGAAAAACAAAACAAATAACTTATACACTACTTCTGGCAAGCGAAAAATTTTTATTAACCAGTAAATCAAATGAATTGAACTCGTACCAAAATGTTGCATGCTCACACCTGATAAACTGATCGTGGAGAGCAACTGATTGCCCATCTATCCACACAGTCAGCTGGTGATTGGGTATGCTGGTAACAGAAAATTGCCAGTAGCTAGGGGAAAGAAAGAAGGAGGTCAAGTGATCTATAGATAGAAACCACTATCACACAATATGGACAGATGCACATCATACCTTACCCATCATCCATGAAGTCAATACTTTAGAAAAAACGGCATGAATTCCACTGCAAGAATGATAAGCATGGAAGTGCACTACATTTCTTTTTTATTTATTTATTTTATTTTATATATTTTATTTTACTTTTTATGCACTTCATTGCTTGTGAGTATATGGCTTTTTTTTTCAAGTTCAATGTTTTTCTGATCTCTTAAATTCAATGTTTTATGCTCCCCTTTTCACCACAAAAGGCAGTATCAAGGCTAAGTGCTAAATTATATCAACTCTATGTTTACTGGAAGTATTCCTATAAAATATCAACATGACATGCAGAGCTATTTAAAGAAAATCTTCGAATCAGAACAATCAGGACAGGATCATTTGTTGTATCTAAAAAACTCAAAACTAATGCAAAGATGACAAATCAAGATTTGGAGCAAGTTTAAAGCCCGGTGCAAACAGACACAAAAATGTTGGCCAACAACTCCCAACATTTGCAGATAACTAAAAGTCTGACCAGTTTCAAACTTTGTGCAACAACTCCCAACAACACAGAACAACATGCAACAGGGTGTTCAAACATCCAACAAGGTTGTGGCCGTTTGCACGGGGCCTAAGACCACAGCAGCATATCCAGGACTGAGAGGGAAGGGAGAGGCAAAACAATTCAAGCCCTTTGAGCAGTTATTTACTGCCAACAACAAGATTCAGAAAGCCTTCCAAATTGTTACCACCCAGGAAGGAGAGAGCGTGGCCATGTAAAGCTGTGTTGACAGATCGACAACTGAAAAGCACACAATTCTAAACAAATTAAACTTAGTTACTATTAAAGGTGGCCAAAGAAAAACTGCAAGAAAGTTCATATTTATTTTTCCTAAACTCCTAACAAAATAAACAGCCCTATTCAAAGGGTCTGCCAAGGAAAGTTTCATTCAAAAGGTACCACTAGGATTCCATCCACGAATTTGGTATTCAAACTAACACATGACATTGCCATAAGTTGGTGTGGTGGCAAAAAATAGGATAAAACAATATTGATGATTGTAGTCTATAATTTATTAATGTGAAATGTCCTGTGTGGTCTCTCACCCTTCATTTGTGATATAGGATTTATTGAAGATCTTCCACTCATCCCAGCTAACAAATCTGTGGCCCACTTTCACTTTTAAAACCGGGCTTTGTCCCATTTGAACAAAAACATCAGTCAGTTCTTTTGAAAACTGCAAAACAAAAACAAAAATATGTGAACAAACTATGAGCCGCGAATAGCAAAGAGCATCCCAGAGGGTTCACTTTTCAGATACAAAGGGATTTCATCACCTTAGCTAAAAGTCTACAAAGCAGATTGTGAACTCCTTATTCAGCCTCCTCATTTCCTCTATTACATGGCACAGAGATAGTATGTGGGAAATTGTAAACCGCCCCTTGCTGAAACCACTTTGGTTATATTTCTTAGCATGGGATCCACAGCAGGCACATGGTGATTCAGGAGAAGCTTATTGTAGATTTTATTTGTTTTCACTGGATCTAAATTTTACCATCCACCTTTTCATAGGTTGATTCAGACAGTGTGACAGATTTTTACAATTAAAATACATTAATTGATCTGATAGAAAACCTACCTGAGATGGGACAGAAGCAGTCCTGTTCCTTTCAGATTCTGACACATGCTTTGGATCCATAATCCACAACCTGAATTCCTCAAGACTTTGACTGGTAAATTGTACACATAAATGTCACTGACAATGCTACTCTGAGTGCTCTTCACTAGCCTGAATTTCAGCCGCCTCCCCTACTTGCTGAGTCACTCAGGAAGTGCAAGAGGTGGTTGAAATTTAAGCCAGCTATTCACTAATTAAAAATCATATACTAAACCCTTCAAAGCCCAGTACATACATGGCTTTGAACTGAAAACATCACATGTGAATGTGTCCTATGGTAAAACAGAGTGCTATCACTATATATCATAACATCTGTACCAACTTTTTAATCTTACAACTACATTGCGACTTGCCACTGCCACCAAATGTACGTGCAGACTAAGTTTTTTCTCTTGTTTCAAGATGGCCACCAACAAAACATACAAATTACAAAACCTAAATTGTAAAATTGATCGAGATGTTTACTGCTGCAGCTTTTAAGTGATATGTGACTTCCCAAAAACCTCACAATGTTTTGCCCATTTCTCACTACTTTTCCAAGCTCTACATTCAGAGTCTCACATTTTTTTGCCTTTTGGGGGTTGGCAAGTCTGGCATTTGCAGTGAGCACTTAAATACACAACTTAGCGTAGTTGCTATTGTAAGTGGTAATTAAAGTTAATTGAAATACGAAAGGGATAGTCAAAAACAAAGTGTAACCTTAAGAGCAAGTTACTCAGGGACTCGACCATTTTAAAAGGTGTTAATTACTATACTTTCTCTCAAAAATGGCTGTCAGATAGCTTACTTTCTCAGTTCCTGGTCATAAGCAAGGTACCATTCATGGTAAAATGGGCTGTGGACAACTTGGATGTACCTTACATTCTGAAAGAACAACAAACAGAGAGTTTACTGACTCAAATGGAACAAAAAATTTTATAAAGGACATATAGGCCTTCCTGGAATTTTAAATTAAAATGATAAATTTTGACAGTGCTTATACAAAAAGTAGTTTTGATTAGAAAGTTGAATCATGATCAAAAACTAAGTTGATGGAACCACTCTGGAGTTCTCTGTTTTGGAAAACAACTTTGATGAGACTTTTACGAAAATGAGTCTCAAAGAGATTCACTGAATGAGGAGAAACAAAAGTCATCAATGAAACATCTTTCAGCAAGTTTTTCTGCTGTCTTTAGGGATAATCTTTAAAACTTGTGACACTTTAAGACAAAAAATACCACTCAACACCAACCTGGACATCTGAGTCATTCCTGATGGAAGCAACAGGGTGAAATCCTGGCTTTGGACAATGTAAGATCGCACTGGTGAAGCTATGAGAAAAGAGAAATACCAAGTCAAATCACACTACAAGGCACTTTATACAAGACTGAAAATTTGATGATAAACTTGCCTCTTATTCTTTAGAGAACAGACATTTGGATAACACCACTCCACAGTCTCATTCACCAATAAATGCTCCAAAACTATCTGTGAAGACATGGTCAGATGTTATAAACTTGTTAGTTGGACTAACACAAGACATTCTTGTTAGTTTCATTAGATCACTCATAGACATAGACGGTTTAAATCGCATGTGTACAGGTGTCACTAAAAGTGCTGTCACTTCAACATTTTACAACACAAGATACCCTACAAGAGGTAACGGTTGAAGGTCAAGGTCTTTTTTTATGAACGATGCTAGCAAGAAGTCAATATGAGTTTAAGACACATATAGATTAGGATAGATCAAAATTATTTCCACAGTATATTTCACAAGGATGTAACTACCAGCATATTTTGGCTACCAAAAGTTAGCTTACCACCAGCTCAAAGACTGGGCTGTCAACCCCCCACGTCTTCAAGTATTGAGAACTGATAGGGAAGAGATGATAGATGGTGTCATTTTGCATGGCACATGATGTCATTCGTGTAAAAAATACCCATTGACTCCGATCGTCACAAATTTGCGATGACATAAAAAGTGCAAAAAAGATGTTGTTGTCATTGTAACATTTGACCTGATTGGTGTACTTCCCACCAATCACATGACACCAGTTACAATGGCATACTGGAGCTAGTGAGTAAACCTTTGATGTTAACATTACAATAACTCAAACAAATTATGCAAAATAGTTGAAATTTTAATGCCAGACGTCGAAGAAATGGCAAACTTCAGCAATTATCTGCGAGATGTCATACTCTAATTTGGAGACTGGGAGATACTGTCCAAAATCTGGAGTCTCCTGGATTGTCTGGAAAGAGTTGACAGCTCTGCAAATCACAGTGGAAAATAAAGACTTGGGGTAATTTTGACGGTGCAGTTGATGGGTGGTTTTACAACAAGACAAGGTTGCGTGCAATAGTTTATAAATACCAATAAACAAGCTCAACTGTATTTATAGTTAGTTAATTAAACGACAACTTCAAATTGACTGTAAGTTGACCGAAATGCAAAACTTACGGAATTTTGTGTAGAAAACAATGTTCCGTAGCCTTCTTGACTCCTGTATCTTTAAGTAAAATGATGCAGCATATACTTTTATACGCAGATTCCCTTTAACAACAAATCGATCAAACGTCCTGGTCCACTTTTTATATCGTTGGACAAATGAAACGACTTACCGCCACATGTCTCTGCCAAAAGCGTTGTGGAAAGA